TGCTGCTGCTGCTGTTGCTGCGCCGTACTGTTTCCGCCGGGAGCCCATTCGCCGACGGGAATTCGAGAGCTTCTCTTGGGCGAGGGAGAGGGACGGGACGGCAGTGGCGTTCCGGGCGTGCGTTGAAACTCACCGCTGCAGAAATTTGACGGCGGTGATCTTGTCGGGCGTGGGCGTTTCGTCACGAGTTGCAGCGAGCGTATGGGAGTTGATGTTACACTCTACAGAAGCTGGCGACGCGGTTCTTTCTTTATCATTTTTTCGGCTTGATCAGTGAGGAACAGTCATGGATCGATCTAGATGCATGTGACGGGGACCCGGGAACTGTGAGGAGCTCGTGAAGGAAGACCGCTTCCAGAAGGATTGGAACCGCGGTTCGGCCACCACCACGAGTCAAGATGAAGATCGGCAGAAAAGCTTCAAGGCTTCTCCAGAGATTTGACTTTGAGAGATGGGCGGAACTTGGAAGCCACCAGCGCCAACACGAACAAACCGCGCAACGGTTCAGCGGACGAACCCGCCGCCGGCGCCCCGGGGAACACCCGCGATGAAACGAGATCGTCCTGTCAAGATACCTGTCAGAGGATAGTTCACGTCACAGGAAATTTGACAAGGCCAAGTTTTTTGCCTCTGCCCGTTCCTTGCTCCTCCGCGGGCGAAGAGTTCGAGATGCCTATTGCCTATCCGTAATTGTGCCACCGATAAGGGCTAAAGAGCGCGACGATACTATGGGGGTCGTTGGTGGGGGGCTGCCCCCTTGCCCAAAGAGAAAGAGACTGGGGTGCTTCAGGGCCCAGGGTCCCAAACCGGTGTTGGATTGCAGTTGTTGGTGAAACGATTGCGTCCTGCGCTAGACCTGGGGGTGCCAAGTTCGCCAGAGAGCCTTACATGTTCGAAAACCGACGTTGAAGGTTCGGGGGATCTCCAGTTGTCATGTTCGTTGACGTGAAAGTTTAATTTGATCAAGTCTAATCTACCCGCGGGATGTGGCTCGCTTCAACTCCGTCGGTCGGTCGTTTCTTTCCTCTGTCGTTTTAGGACTTAGGAGCCTTTTTTAACGGTTCGTTTGGCTTCGCCCCTTTCAACGCTCGCAATTTGCGTCTGGCCTGCCTGCCACAATGTCCGAACTGAGACAGTATTGTTCCCGCCTCACTCACCTGAATAGCGACGCTGGCGCTGATATAGGTCCCTCCCAGAAACCACCGTGGACTCTCTGTGAGGGTACTATAGACAGCGTTCTAGATCTCTCTAACAGTCTTTTCGTATCGCGGGCGCCGGGCGACGATGGGCGGCGGTGGATCCTGAGCGTCCGAGAGCCAATGCAACACCACCTTACGCAGGCAACGCACGCAATATGCCGCGCAGTAGGTGGCCACGAATGGGGGGCGACACTTCTTCAATAACAACCGTAAAAGAAAAACCCCTCATAGGCTTGTGAGAAAACACACGGACGATCTCGTGATGACTCTAAGCCCAGCGCGTAATTCCGTACCGTTCATGCAAACCTCATGGTTCGGGAATGCGTTTCCGTCTTCGTCCTGTGCAGTAGTGCAAAAAGGACGGCGCGCCGAGACGGCCGGGGAGACCGGGGCCCGGTGGTGTGGAGACGTACGCCCGGACCTCCGATTACCGGTTACGGCGTAGCTCGGTTTGCTGCCAAATGGAATAACGCACAGAAGGCGCAGAAGGCCAGCCAGGCAAAGGGCACTGCATCCGGTTGGTGCATGCAAATCGGCAAATGCAGGAGGATGCGCGATGCACACCGGGAGGGACGCCGCGTCTGCCCCCCCCCCCCCCCCGCGGGCNCCCCCCCCCCCCCCCCCCCGGAGACCTTTCTTCTTCGCGTCTGGCGCGTGAAAATCCTCCCGCAAGCCAACACGCGCATACTCACCCAAACCGAGACTGGCGCGTTTCCAAAGTACCGGCCCGTCCTTTAGACGAACCAAACAAACTTGCAATCCTTCTTCCAACGACATGTCGCAGGAAACTCAAAACAATTAGATAGACGAGTTTGTGGTTGCAGAGACGAGACAGCGTCACATCAACTGGGGGAGGGGAGGGAGAGAGCAGAATTTAGCAAAAAGGACTCAAATTCCGGCAGGCCTGGAATCAATCGGTTCCCACCCGTCAAACTGGTCAACACCCCCTTTTTTCCTGTCTCCCATCGGCCTCTGAGTCCACACACTCGACGTTCTCCACACGAGAAGGGCCGGGGACCCTTTGCTGAAGACAATGCCATGAGGGAAGAGCTGTGGAGTGCGGCGCGCCGCGCAACGGTCGTTGGTGCCACTGCAGGGGAGCGTCAAGCTGTTGTCGTAATCTTGGGTTGCTGGAAGAAGAGGACAATAGCGCACGTGGGCGGTAGGGTACCGGCCAAAGATTGATTGCGCAGTGCACAGATATCCGGAGGTTTTTTTTCTGTTTCTTTTCTCTTCTGGGCTTGTGCTCATGAGTCGTTTGACTCGTTATCATCATCATCGCCTGTTATTTGGGCCCCCCATGGTGTGTTTTTGTCGGCTACGCGACCCTTTTCGGGCAGACGACTGACATGTTGCCCCCAAATGGTTGCCTCTGGATTGGAGCTTTCTCTCGTGGGAGAAAAGAGGAAAGCGTACTCCATATCTGCCGCGTCGCATGTTCCGGGACCCCCCAGACACCTGCAGGGGCTTCCGGAGGCTTCGCACGCGGATCTCCGTTAAAGAAGACAGGGCCCTCGGGGAACGACGATCTCTTACGGATTACGGACAACTTCCGGTGGACTCTCTCGCACCTAACACGGCGGCGAGATGACCAGAACCGGTCCAGTGAAGCTATTCTCGAACGTCACAACACATGATTTCACAGGCGAATAGTGATATCGAGTATGATTTGAGGAAATAGGTCTTGATTGTCTGTTCTTTTTCCTCTAAAAAAGGATAAGGGGGCTATGACTTATCAGGTCGAGGACACCTGAAGAATCTCCTCAACACGAAATTGTTCACATGACAGGTCATATGTCAACTACACTACTACAACACGCCTCCGGAGAGAAAGGCTTAGGCAAGCTTAGCCTGGCCATTGGTGACAGCCAGCTCGACACCCTCGATGACGAGGTCCGGGCGGGACAGGAAGGGCGAGTGGGAAGTGTTGGCGTAGAAGGTGGTGTAGCCGGCGGGGAACTGGGCGGCCATGGCCTCCTGGGTGGCGAGGGGGATGGCCTGGTCCTGCTGGGTGTGGAAGTACATGACCTCGATGCCCTCGTTCCAGGGCTCGTAGGTGGCGTCATCGGAGAAGACACGCTTGGACTCCCAGCTGAGCTCAGCAATGGCCTTGGCCTTGAGGACGGGGTCGACGTCGGCGTAGAAAATGGTCTCGGGCGTGTCGGCGTAGACCTTCTCACCCTGTTCACACGTGTTAGTCGATTGTGGTCTTTGATATCAAGCGAGAGCCGCTTTCTGCATCTGATACGTTGCATATGCCCGGGCAAGGGTGCAAAACAGTGACAGATGCAGATGCAGAGCGGGGAAGACGTGTCAAGAGGTTTACTTACATCGGCTCTCATCCAGGGGAGGAACTCGCCGCTGAGCATGTCGACCAGGCTGGTGGCGTTAGGGGCGGCGAAGGCGGCGAGGTAGACCATCATGATGATACCACCCGTCTCGCTGTTGTTGGCGCGCTGCTGGTAGCCGAGGCCGGAGACGGCGTTGGCGCCGACCATGCCGCCGTAGGAGTGGACGACGAGGACGATCTGCTTGCCGGCGTCGGCGAGGGTGGTGAGGGTGCTGCGGAGGACGGCGGCATCCTCGTCGAGGCTGACGGTGGCGGGCTCGGCGCCGACGGAGGGGAGGGTGATGGCCTCAGACTCGTAGCCCTTGAGGGTCAGGCCGGCGCGGACAAGGTCGAAGGACTGCGGACCGTGCCAAGCACCCGGAGTGAAGACGATGGTGGGCAGCTCTGCACGGGGCAGGACGGCCGCGGAGACCGCAAGGGCCGAGGTGAGGAGGCTGGCGATCTTGGGGAACATCTCTTCTGTGTGTTTCTTTGGTTGGGGATAGAGTGCTTTTGTCAAGGGCTGGGATCACACAGACGAATAACTGCCGATCGATGCTTGAATGAGGTGGTATAGATTAAGGTAAGAGGGTACCAAAGGAGGGACTTGTAAGGACCGGTGGGATGCCAGAGGCCGTTGTAAGGAACGTGTGTATAAGTTGGGATTGTACGACGACGGGCGATGCCCAGAACAAGCTTGACAGACGAGGCGAGGATGGGGGGGAATCGATTAAATGGCGCCGAGCGTGAGGAGAGAAGACCAAAATGCCACGAGGTAGCGACGAACCCGGGCGGTTTTATCCTCGTCGAAAATATTGCTTCCATGAACCAAGCTTCGATACCTCGTCAATATCGCGGCCAAGGAGCCCTCGCACGGCACGCCATCCCATGATGTCTCCCCCTTTCCGAATGGAGATGTCAGGACGGAGGGTGATGCCTCGATTGAGGTTGCTCGATGGAGCATGGCAACGTGGTACGGCGTAGTATTGGTTATGGGGTCGTTGTCTGAACTCCCGTGATAGTCGCTGCGATCAGACGCATCGCTAGTCGAGCCGGGGTTGTGACGGTGCCACTCTGGTATGGACAAGGGCTCGACGACGCCGTTATATTGATGTGCCGTTGGATACCTACCCCCCAGTTGGCAGTGCTACATGCCCCCTCTGAGGGCCCCAATCGACCATTTCTGTCGCTGTTACCCGGCAAGTTGTTGCCCCTCAAGTGCCGAGTCAGTTTCTGTCTTACCACTTTTTTTCCCGGCCAGGGGAATCGACAAAAGTCGTTTATGTATAAGGACTCTAGAGTAGGCGCTGCGCTGCTCCCACATCGCGGGTCCATTTGTTCCCTTTCGAGTCGAATTCGCCTGTCTTTTCATCTTACTCGTTTTATATATTCTTCGTAATCGGACGCTCAGATATTGGATTGTTGCTTCTGGCCGGTCCTTCCGGTCTCCATCTTTTCTTCTTTCAGCCGCCATGGCCGACACTACGGTGGAAGACCCCTTGGCGAATAGAGGGCCGGAGCTGAGCGGCACCACGACGGCGCTGCTCGTTCTCGCGACGGTGTTCGTTGGCCTGCGGTTCTGGGCGCGATGGACGGTTGGCTTCCACTACGGCCTCGATGACTGGTTCATGGTCGTTGGACTGGTGCGTTTTCGGTGTGGTGATGGTGGTGTTGAGAGTGTTGTGGGCAAAGGCTAACACGTCAGAAACAGATCGTCACCTTCATGGCGGGTGCTCTCAACTATGCCAGTAAGAACATTGGATGCCAAAACATAGAAAAGTTGAATACAGACTCACATCAATCATAGTGATTGCACAAGGCCTCGGACGCCATGCCTCGACTCTCTCTCTGGACCAGCAGGTGCAGTTCCTCAAGCTGCTTCTGGCCTTTGAGTGCATCTATGTCACGGCAGTCATGTTCATCAAGATCTCCCTGCTCCTGATGTACCGTCGTATCTTCCCGTCTCGAGGCTTCAAGATCTCGGCCATGGTCCTCGGCTTCCTCACCATCGGCTGGTGGATCTCGATCGTCCTGGTCTGCGTGTTCCAGTGCACGCCCGTGGCCAAGGCGTACATGCCGTGGATCGACGGCACCTGTATCGACCTCAAGGCGTCCTTCATCGGAAACGCCATCCCCAACATCCTGACGGACGTCGCCATTCTCTGCCTGCCTATCAAGGAGGTATGGAGGCTGCAGGTTACTATGGTGCAGCGCATCTCGCTGTGCTTCATGTTCCTGCTGGGTGGATTGTGAGTAACTGCGTATCCAAGTGGGAGAAACTTGCCTGACATCAGCAGCGTCCTGTTCGCCAGTATCTACCGCTTCACGACGATTATGCAGTTCCAGCTGACGGACACGACATGTGAGTCGTTCGCCGCTTACAAGGTTTTACTCATCCTGACATCAATAGGGACCCTTGCTACCGCCTGCACGTGGTGTGTCGTCGAGTGCGCCTGCGGTGTCATCAGCGCGTGCCTGCCCACCCTTCGGCCGCTCATGGTCAAGGTTTCATCGCAATTCGGCAGCATCGCAACCAAGTACAACCTTTCCGGAGGCCAGAGCGGTGGCCGCAGCGGCGGCCGCGCGACCAAGATGGGTAGCCGCGGGCCCACGGAACTCATGACGATTGGAGGAACCGGCGGCAAGTCGGCCGACAGAGGTTTCAAGCGTCTCGGCACCGAAGACGGCAAATACGGCGTCACGACGAGCGTCACGGGGCGATCTGAACGAGGTGGTAAGGGCCTACCCGACTCTGGCTCCGACGACGACCTGTCACTCAAGGGCGGCATCCGCATCAAGGTTGACCAAGAGGTCCGATGGGGCGAGGAACAGTCGAAGTACAATGAGTCAAAATACCAGCCTTCCTCGAGAAGCGCCTCGTCCTCGGGTCTTGGCTCTCGACCGTAGCTCATGAGTTGCTAATGAGAAGATTGTATTGATAATAGCCGAACAACATAATAAACCTAATAAAGATTCTTCATCGTTAGAGTCAACGACCACCCGCCGCGAGGAGAGTGACTGAAGATCCGCACCTTTTGAGCCGACCCGTTGAGCCCGACACCTACGCATCGACCTCTCTCGTCCCATACTCGAACATGCCATTCGACTCGACTGCCCCCTCGTCCACGAGCTTGTGAGCCGATTCCACGCCGGCGACTGGCAATCGATACTCGAACTTTTTACCGCTCGAAGGACCGCTGCCGTTGATTTGGTACGGGAATGGGAGGTAGTCGGGGAGCAGTCCAAGCTGACGCAAAGCCGTCGCCTGGTCCCAGGCGATATGCTCGTGGTGAAGATGGTCGCCGCGGACATTGACTACGCTTGTGAAGGGGATGGAGAGATGTTTGCCGGTAGGCGGCACTCCGGGAAGTCTGAGAGACACTAGACTGAGCGATGGAAGCCTGGCAAGGGGGGCGGGGTGTGCTTACAGCCAGTCAATGACCTTATCATGGGTACACTTGAATACAAACTCATCAATCACTCGATCAATGCCCACCGTACGGCTCACCAGCTCAAGCTCTGTATCCTCTGGGTTGTTGAAGATGAAGTGATTGGTGTAGAAGTTGGTGAGGCGGGCGCGGCCTACGCCGCCGGTGAGTGTGGGAATATGATTGACCTCGTCGCAGTCAGCATAAGGCATCGCTACACCGACAACACACACTCACATAAGGCTGCTCAACCATGGTGGCCATGGTCTTGTCAACATTTCGCTCGCCAAATTCAAACAGCGTATGCTCCTCCCACACGGCTTCAAGATCGAAGTAGGGTCCCCCAAGGATGGGCTTGAGAAATGTCAACGTGCGTGTGTGGGCGAGACCAGCGGCATTGGCGTTGAAGTTGTCATGGCTCGGAATGGTGAAGAAATCGCCGGCTGATGGATAATGATAGGTTTTGGACGGGGCAGCGGGTTTGGTGCCGCCGCCATCGGGACCTGAGGCGTGCGAGAGAGTGGGAATGCTGAGGGTTTGAGCAAAGTTGAAAAAGATGGCGGCCTTGATCTCAGGATGGCTCTCCAGGGCATCGGCGACTGCCGGTGCTTGACAGGCGAGGCAGGCTACGGGACGGTCAGATGCTGATGGTCGCATGTGATAATGAAGGGCTCACCAATGACGCCAAACCTGTCTTTGTCATCACAGCTCTCAAGCGCTTTCAATTGGGCAATGGCCGATGTGATGTCGTTGGGGATGTTGGCGAGTCCAGGAGCAACGACCACTTGAGCCACGGCGTAGCCCTCCTCGGCCCATTTCTGTGCCGGTGGAGGATCCAGGATCTTGTCCTGCTTGGCTAGGTTGAGTCCCGCGTCAACCAGAATGATGAGGCCGGGGCCGTGGCCTCGTCGCGACAGTGGCGGCTGGATCGTGATTGAAGGAGACATGGTGTTTCAGAGGTGAAATCTGTAGTCGAGCAAAGATTCTGCTGAACAGGACTGGGAAGTGACGTTGTCAATGGCGCTCGGCCTCTCTTCTACTACGCGGATGGTGTTGTTGGAGATGGTGAGATGGACCTCCACTCGGTGCAACCCCCGCTCGAGATAGCGACTCCTTCCAACACGATTCCAGATAAGGCAGTTCCGGGTCAGCAACCGTACGTTTCTGCAGCAATCCCGGCCATTGCGACGTCCTTTCTTGAACTTCATGGTTCACCGTCCATCGGCAGTTGCGACTGTTGCAGCAGAGGTGCAGCAGAGGCCATCGCGAGGTCGAGACTGAGCCCTTGGCGGTCGACTATGCAGTAGACAACATCCATCTCATGGGCAAACAATGCTCCGTCCGAATAGTGGTCGCAGTTGCTTGGCTTGGCGGTCGTCAACCCTAGCGGGATTGACGTGCGCTGCTGTCTCTCCTCAAGTCCACCCTTGCGTTGATTGCCAAAGTCAATTGCGATAGATGCACCGCCCAAAGTCGGTTAAAGTCTCGGCGCAATTCTGCATGTTTATTTGAAGGCGATGGCGCATCTAAGACTACTAGAGATTGCACGGCCGATAGCGAGCGTCCGAGACATGTGCCACTGGCACCGACATGATTAGGTGGTACGGCATACGTACCTCAGGTCAGGTAGCTAGCGACAGGTCGATATCGTACCAATCGGCATGTGCAGAATGCAAGGGACGACATGCAGGGGGTTGCAGCGCCGACGGGAATTCGAGGGAACGAACCCCTACGGATACATCCATAGTGCGCTTGTGTGAGGGAAAAGAAAGTCCCCGATAAGGCCAGATTTGATGCAATGACGACCTTGACTTGGAGTGAGCCGCGTGGGGGTTGAATGCGATGCGAGTACCGATGACCTGGCAACTTCAATATCAACGACATCCAGCCTCACGACAGCAGAAGACTGCCTACTGTGGTTTCGCCCGTCTCTCAAGCCGTCTTCCGTCTGCCGTCTGCCGTCTGCCGAACTGCACCCACCATGAGCAATGTGAAAGCCACGGCGCCAGTGTCCCGGGTGTGGGGGGAAAGGCCCGGCCGGCATCAACGCGGACGCTGCCAGGCCACCTCAGGGACTGACTGAACCGCTGCGCTGGATTGGACAGCCCGATCGGAGAGTTCCACAGGGGGGACGTGGACAGTGGGCTTCTTACGAGTCCAGGCTCCCGGTTCCTAGCCGTCGATTCGAGGGATGGTGGTGTCACCAGTGTGCATCCCGTCCGCCTGCATCCACCGAATCGTAGATCCTCCCCCCCCCGAGCCTCCATCCAGCCAGCCAGTTCATCTTCAACAGCGCCGTGTACGTGTACGACATCAATATGAGATGCTCGTCCCGTCCTGCCGTGCCATGCGGCGCTTGGACGGCAGTGCCATGTCACTTCACCGTCGCCGACACTGACAAGAGTAAGGTGAAGTGACATGACAGCAACACTAGCTTCAGCCACACTCGACCGTCTCTTACAAGTTCTCGAACTCTAACCCGCATTCCTTGCCTCTGTTTCCCTCCAAATCCCTCCCGTCATCCAGCCCTGACTAGCCCACTTCTCCCTAAATAACTCTCCTACCATGCCACGCCATCCTGTCCATGCCCAGATGGAGCTCCCTGGCCTCCAATCTGGCGTGGGCTCCCTTGTCTTGTTGCGACTGGCCTCCGACAAGACGAGAACTTTCTCCCATTTCAACTTCGGATCACATTGTCTCTTCCTTCAATTGCCATCCCACACTGTTGCTGGAAGCATCTGATGCTCATTCCATCTTTTTCTTGCGCCTCCTCTTGACCTGTTCCTCCGGATCCTCCGGATAAGCGGCTATCGCATCGCACACGAGTCGCATACGAATCGCGTCGATTCCGAGCTCTCGAGCTGGCGAGGTCCACGCCAAAGCTGTCCCTCCGAATCCCTCGAGCTTCCTCTGTCCGCGCCGGAGCCATGGGGAACAGCTTTCCGGTGAACAAGCAGACCGCCGTTGGGCTGCTGATGTTCCTCATTTTCATGTGGACGCTGTCTACATTTACGTCGACTAATCCCAAGACGCCGACACACATCGTGGGTTTCTTCACACGTTTTCGACGGGGCATTGCTGACCTTGCTTAGACGCATGAACAACCCGCGCAGCCCGCCATTCCCGCTCAGAATCCCAACGTCAACCCTGGAGGAAAGCCTGCAAGTGTCCCCGAACACCCATCATCAGGCAATTCGAAGCCGCGACCGGACGCCTCTCGCCCAGACACGTCGCCGCAAGTCACCCTACCGCCATGGTATGAAGAAGACGAAGACAAGGCGAAGGCAGATGCCAAGGCCGGCTCCAAGCCGTCTACCCACGAGACCGCCAAGGCCCCAAGCAAGCCTTCCTCGCCGTCCAGCCCGTCGTCATCGAAAGACAGGCCCCTGATTCTCTACGCCTTCGCCGAATCCGCCGCAGCTCTCGAGAACCTCGACTACTTTGTCAAGCAAGGTCTCCACGATGCTGCTGATTTCGTCTTCATCTTGAACGGCGAGACGAACGCGGAAAGCAAGATCCCCGAGAAGAAGAATATCAGGGTTGTGAAACGCCCCAACACCTGCTTCGATCTGGGCGCCTATGGTGAGATTCTTCGTGAGGGCGATCTCTACAAGAAGTACAAGCGTTTCATCACCTTGAATGCGAGCATCCGCGGCCCGTTCCTCCCTCACTGGGCCCAGGCGTGCTGGAGCGATCTCTACCTGGATCGTGTCACCGATAAAGTCAAGGTAAGCAAGCCCCTCTCATCTCTGTGCGACATGCGATCCCGGTTCTGACATTTTCCAGCTGGTTGGTATGACCGCAAATTGCTGGCCTCGGTTCCACGTGCAGTCCATGATCTGGGCGACGGACTCGATTGGCATGGACCTGCTCTTGAACCCTCCGCCCAGTTCACACGCCAGCGACCAGTTCGGCAACGAGAAGGATCCCGTCGGCCTCGCTGGCTGCTACAACGACTGGAACCACGCCGTCCACGCTGAGGTTGGCGCGACAAGCATCTTCCTGAATAATGGGTATAAAGTAGACCTGATGATGACGGCGTTCCACAAGTCCGAGAACTACATTGACGAATGCGACTCGTCGCAAAACGGCGATGTTTTGTGGAACGGAAAATACTTTGGGACCAACGTGCACCCCTTCGAGACGATCTTCATCAAGGCGAACAGGGACATCGACCCGACGTTGATCAAGTCACTGACGGAGTGGCAGCAAGCTTCGGGATGGAACAGCTACAGCGCCTGCAAGGCGTGAGGGATTTTTTCAGGGATTGACAAATAGGAAAGAGACGTTTGACATAACGGCGCCTGGAGTTGGATATCTACACATTCATGATGAGGAGTTACTATGCGGGAAACAAGTGTTGGAAAGTCATACCATGAGCATAGTTCGAATGCATTTTTCAAATATCAAACCGAATCGCTGAGAGGGCAGTCACCACATATGACCTCCCAGGCTTACCGAATGCATTGGCAGGTTACAGCGGGTTACAACAAGAGGCTTGTGCTTGCAAAGTAAAGTTTTCTATTCTGGACTTTGCGCGTTGGTTAGATTAAATGCCCTCAACACCATCGCGTCCATGACTCGCAGACAGATCAGCAGTGCTCAAGACCTTCGAAATGATTCTCGTGAGACCGCGGGACGCGCGGAGAGATCAGTTTGAAGAACACTTGTAGCCATGGCTTCATCTCAAGTTGCCTTTTGTTCTGTCGTCTTTCAGAGTTACAACGCAAACAGCTCCAACTCACCTTTCAAACCGCAACTCGCCATGTGGTCGCCAGCCATCACCTTCGCCATCTTCACCACTCTTTCAGCAGCAAAAGATTGCGCCTTCTATTGGTCCTATCCCAGCGGCGTATACGACAAATGGGCGCTGGGTCGCATTGACGAGGCCGTCGGCATCTGCGCCAGCGAGATTGGCGGTCACGTACTCGTCCCTGATATGGACGTCCAGAACGGCGACAACAAGGCGAACCGGTGTACCGTCTGCCGAGGGGCTAGGAGCGGCACGGAGGATTTTGTGTTGGACTACTTTACGATTCGATGTGGTTATTTCGGGGATGGATCGTGTTCTGCGTGAACTGAGATCCGACGCGCCTTGATTTATTTGGGGTGGGGCTGTATCTTCGCAGTTATCGATGGATATGCAAGGACATCAAGAGGGAGAAATCCATTCTACCTATGCCCTTATTCGGATTCGAAATTCCAAGAACGTCCATGGGTCCTCAGAGTATCTCAAGCTGTCCAGATCTTTTGAGAAGTTGCCCGGGAGTCTCCTTGCATTCCGCATGTCATCGCTTCGTCCACTGTGTTCTTCGAGCACAGGTTCAACAGGAAGCTCTTCTGTGATGTTTCTTGCATCGTTGGGCAAGTCCGGCAAGCTGAGCTCGTCCCATGATGGTGGGGAATTCCCTTGGTAGACATAGGCTCTGTAGAGGTCTACCGTGTCAGAGTCCCCTGGGTTGGCCTTTTGTGGGATGTGCATCTGAAGCCTGATGAAATGTTCTCGGCTTGCGAAGGATGCCTCCGAGGTATTGCAAGGGTATACAAGCGCCATCGGCTGCCCATCCTCTGGGTAGAACTTCTCAATGCCCCTAGTGGAGTTGAATGAGAATATGGCTAAGTGGACATTTGTGGCAGGCCCAATGTTTCGAAATAGAAGCCTTATAATCTGGCCATGCCTTGCCTCATACATGCCAGACCCTAGCTTTGCAAGAGGACGCCAAAGCGTGCTATCATCGAGAGGCTCAAAGATAAAATCATCTCTTGACAAGGCTCTCGATAACAGACCGTGGTCAATACTTTTCAAAGCATTGAAACGGGCCATGTGGTTCAGGATGTGAGCGGTTTTCCGGGCCCTATTGGGGTCATTAGCAGGTATATTGGGCACCCAATCCTGCCCGTCTGGATCCCGATCGTCACGGATGTTGATTTGTTCGGCGTCATTGATGGAAACTGTGAAGCTATAGTCGCGCGCAACATCATCTGCGAAGAGGCTCAGATATCCACTCAGCGCTTCTTCCAGTTCGCTTTCCAGGTCCGTACAGCCACCCAACCCGAGGAGCCTAACAATTGGCTTCGGTGACTGAAAGGCCCAAGCCTCCATGACAGCCAAATCGCCATCCTGGATAGATGTGTTGTTGCTCTCTTGCAGCTCTCCATGGGAGAAGAACATGTTTGTCTTTGTGATGCGAATCCGCGGGATACAAGTGTCATTGCCTTCAGGGCGAGGCGGTACTGTTGTAGAAGTTGGGAAGATGGCGTATATGGCTCCGACTTGTACTCCTTGGGCCGCGCCAATGTCGATCTGGTAGAGCGTCGAATCACATCCTGGCTGCCTCAACAATTTGACCATGCTTGCAGGCTTCTGAGCAAATTCTTCATGCCCAAAAAACTCATAGAGGCCGTCGCCATGAAGAACCGGCGTTTGCCGACTCCGTGGCATTGTAGTGTGTATTCTGGATTTCACATGCTGTACGACTCGTGTGTATGTAGGTGTTCGTGGGCCAGGGTGATTAAGTATGTCCAGCATCCAGTGAGTGAGAATCCCATTCCGAGTGGGGGACCTAACCTGATCATCGGGGTCGAAGAGGCTCTCTCCAGCCTGCTGGTCGAGTTGGCAGCTGCTAATGACGGTGCATCCCCACGGCCTGGACAGCCATGAGCGCCTGAGGTTGGCATTCCTGTACTCTCCATCCTCTTTCTCGCTTCCAAATCTGGCGTCGAGCTCGGATTCCATGGAGCGAGCATCTTCATCAGCAGCTTCATCGACTTTGAGAAGTTGCTCATCGGGGGAATCGGTATCCGATGTGCGGATGTCGAAATCAGCTTGTCTGTTGGCTCTGAACCCGCTTCCAGAGAAACAGCTATCGAGGACCAGACACACTCGAACCTTGCGGAACTGCACGAGCTTTCTGACCCAAACACCCAGCTGGTAGCCTGTCAAATAAGCACCACCAGCCATGACATCCGTGAGAGCTAGTGCTGTGCCGGTGACAGCGTCGCCGCCGCCCGGATTCTCTAATGTTCCCAAATGGCGTCGTAGGATTCCGTGGCCTGAATAGTGAATGTAGACGAGATCTCCTTTGGTAACCTTGTTCCCGATATCCTCGATTGCTCTTTTGATATTTTCGAATATTGGCCAAGTCATCCTGTCCCCCACTGGCTCGTCTCCATGGTCGTTCCGAATGGCCATGAGTTTCACGATGTTGCAGGCGCCGGCGCTCCTGGTTTGAAGATACCTTTCGATCCTCTGGACATCTTCGACGCAGCCTCTGAGATGGCTGAAATGTATCGCTCTCTTATCTCCTGGGATGTAGTGATCCACTCCAATCAGTAGAGCCCATTTTCGTCGCTCGGTGGAGTTTGAAGTGCGCGTATGGTCTGGGAAGTCTTTTTGTGTTGTTTGAACCATCTTGCTATAGCGGCTGGATGAGTCGTGTTTTCATCAACTATCTTATCCAGTGGACGGAATGCTTTTTCGTTACAAAAGACTTTCTTCCAAGTAAGGCACGTCGTCATCATGGGCAGGCCCGGAGGCCTTCCACTAGACCCCACTATCCATCGGGGGAGGGACCGGTTTCTGCAGTGAGATCATCGCGGCATTCGACGCTGGATGGCCAATTAACAATGCAGGCGGCAACCGAAGTGCACCTCAGCTCGTGCAGGGGTCAGGGTCAGCTGCTTCGGCTTCAGCAGCCCGCAGATTGAACACGAAAGTGACTCAGCCTTTCAGGTCAGGTGAGTGAGCTGTCCATACCAACCTAGGCAGCAATTATGTGATTCGACAGCTCGCTAGGATCGCGGCACGATCCCATTCGTTCCTGGCACAGGATTCTATCAAACAGGGCTGTAGCCGCCGCCTTATGACTTGTTTTCACAGTTGGCAATGTCTGTTCAGCTTATTCTCTTTGGTTTCTCAAGCTAGTGTGAATATTACGTGGCAGTGGCGGCGGCTTCAGATGTCACAACACACAAGAGTGGAACTGTAAGCCTTGCGCGTGCTTCGTGTTGTTTTGTGCGGCATCGATGGATTGGTTCTTGGCTACCTCTTTCTTTCTTTCTCCCTGGCCATGGGCACGAAAACAGGTGGCTAGCGCTGGGCATGCCCACGCAAGTTGATGCAATAACACAAACAGGAACCAAGCCCGAGGATCGCCGCCAGAGCCCTAAATGGGGAGGGAAGACGATGGCTGCTCATCTACATAAATCATATCACTGACTGTAGTTCGATACTCTGTAGCACCAACAGGTTACTCTATGTTGGTCACTGAGCCATTCAGTGTAAAGCATCAACTATCGTTTGCATCACTCCATCTTTGTCTTCAAAGCTTCCTGTGCTCGCCATGACGCTCCTGGGAACTATGAATCAACTCCCTTCTCTTGACAATTTAGAGTACTACAACGAATTCGACAAGAACATCGACGAAACAGCACCATGTGCAGTCGATGAAGCCGCAAAGCTCGTCCCCACCGATTGCGACAGCCCCGAATACGTCCCGCGTCTCAAGAGCTTGGTGACCCTGCTGGTCAGAAGGTTTCGGCGGACAGCTGCCATGGAGGATCTGCAGCACGCTATTCTTCGCGCCCTTGAGATGGTAGTTAATACGCCTCGCTGCCACCCTGATCGTGCGGCTCAGACCAAAGACTGGATTAACATGACGCTGGAAATGGCCGGCCTGAAGGGTTTCAAGGACGAAGACCTTGAAGAAGTGTTTGAGATGGCTCAGCAAATGGGCGTGACGGTCAAAATGATTCGAAGGGGACACGACCATGCCTCCGATGAGGGCGAGTTGACCGCGGCAAGTCTTCACATCCGGTATCAGGGATTGCTTTCTAATATGCGGGTTTCGGGTTCACAGCTAGAGCAAATTGATATTTTCGACGATGAAACGCTCACTGAATCCGTTGACGTGCTCGAGGTCGTAGGCAATGGACGTGTGGCAGCCTGGTCCGGATATCGACTCTACAAAAGGTTCGACACGACAGACTCAATGGATGATCTCAACAGCGCCATCGAATTATTAGAAAGGGCACTCAAGTACACGACCCGAAGTGATCATGAATCCGACGCGCGACAAATCCGCTTGACCAACCTCGGCGGTGCTTATGGAGATCGGTTTGAACGCACAGGCTGGATACCTGATCTTGAACGTGCCATCGAACTTACTACGGAAGCTTTGGATTCCATGAACGAGTCCTTTGTCGATGCCTTCAAGTTGGATTCGTTAGCTTGCTCGTTCTCCGGCCTGGAGACTTGGCTAAGTGTGCGCTTCGAACGGTTCGGTTTAGTTGATGATCTTCACAAGGCTCTTGACGCCGCGGAAATGGCCGTCAATCTCACACCGCGTGACAGTCCCTGGTGGCCAGGCCGCATGAACGACGTCGGGCTGCGTTTAAGCGAGCGATTCGACCGCTTTGGCGACAAAGAGGACCTCGATCGGGCTATCGAATGCATGGAGATGGCGGTGGCCGCTACGGTGCAAAGCGAACAGAGTCTACTCAAGAATTTGACCAACCTCGGCAACCATCTCCACAGTCGATTCAAGTTCACCAATGCTGCCGCGAACCTAGATCGCGCCGTGGAGGTTCTTGAAAGGGCTCTCGCCATGTCGCCGCCAAATCACTTCTTGCGTTGCATCAACTTGAACAACCTCGCTGTCACCCTTGAGGAGCGCTTTCAGCAATTCGGCAGAGACCACGATCTCGACCGTGCTATCGATTTGGTGAGAACTGCAATTGATGAAACTCCCAAAAGCCACCCTGGCCGTATAGATCGGATCCAGAATCTTGGACTCTGGCTCGACAGGCGAGCTCGGCAGAGCGGGTCAAAGGATGATAACAGTCAATCTATCGCGGCTATCCGTGCAGCAATCGAAGCCCTCCCACCAGATCACCCAAAGCGACCTCGTCTACTTGACGGGCTTGGGGGCGCCTTGGGTTTGCGATTCGAAATGACTGCTTCCATGATCGACCTTGAAGATGGCATAGCAGCAGCAAGAGAAGCAGTCTCCTCCACACCCGCCACCCACCACCAACGCGCAGGCTTCTTGAACAACCTGGCCAACTTGCTCGGCGACAAATCCGGGTGTGAAGGGAGCTCATGGCGTTTCACAAAGGCCACAAACGCTCCAGAGCCAAAATCCAGCGCCGCACTTGATGAAACGATAGAGATCTTGAGATTGTCGATCAATGCTACAGAGGAGCGGCATACCGATCTACCTAGTCGGCTTTCCAATCTGGGAAACTGGCTTGGGTGGCGGTTCCGACGAGGCGGTTCAACGAATATGGACGACATCGATAATGCTATAGAGGCAACGAAAGAAGCGGTCGAGAAATTCCCGCGAGCAAACCCCGCAAGAGCGGGAACGCTGGACAATCTCGGTTGTTGGCTCCTGGATCGATACCGTCAGACAGGTAACGAAAAGGACCAGACTGATGCGCTTGAATGTTTCAAAGAGGGCTGGAGGTTGCAGAATGCTGCACCTTTCGTTCGCATCCGCTTGGCCACAGATGCATCTCGAATTCTTGCCGCACGTTCAGATTGGAAAGAGGCAAACCAGTTACTGGAGGGAGCAATCAATCTCCTGCCTGCTGCCACGCCCCGGTCTTTGCAACACACCGACAAGCAAGATATGCTGGCAAAGTTCACGGGCTTGGCCTCTACGGCTGCTGCTGTCGCTCTCAACGCTGGCAAGAGCGCGTATGATGCTCTGAGGCTCCTGGAGCTGGGTCGTGGCATTATCGCCAGTCTACTGCTGGATATGCGGGGAGATATCTCGGACTTGAAAGCAAAACATCCTTCTTTGGCAACTGAGTTTCTCTCCCTCCGAGACGAATTAGACTCGCCTGGAAACTTACAAGCCTCAGCAAACTCTCAGAACGATGTTGGTGATATCTCTGCATGGGAGTTGCAAGCAAGAAAGAGGCGTGCAACGGAGAAAAGGTTCGGTGAGCTCGTTCGAGAGATCCAGGCACAGGATGGGTTTCGCCACTTCTGTGGTGTCCCGGACGAGGACGAGTTCAAAGCCGCGGCGGTTTCAGGGCCTCTCGTGGTCATCAATGTGGCGCGTTATCGATGCGATGCATTCCTTATTCAACACGACAGCATCAGCGTCTTAGAGCTGCCTGATCTAACCAAGGAACACGTCCAGCAACGCCTCGGGAGTCTCAAGCTGTCTCTTGCAGGGCATCTGGATGGCATGAATGAGCTCCTGGAGTGGCTCTGGGCGTCGACCGCGCGTCCATGTCTTGACGCCCTCAACTTCACGAGTTCGATATCCGGTAGAAGCCTGGCAGAGTGGCCGCGTATCTGGTGGATTCCAACCGGACTGCTCAGCCACTTCCCACTCCACGCAGCTGGAGAATACCGGGAGCGCAAAGGAGAGACGGTCCTTGATCGTGTTATGTCGTCCTATGCGCTATCCCTAAGGTCATTGATCCACGGGCGGCGACATAACACCCACAACGAACCAGACCAGTCGTCGGTCGATTCTGCCCTCTTACTGGCCATGCCGACAACACCCAACAACGGGAGCCTGTTCTGGGCCCAACAGGAGGTGGACATTGTGGCTAGCCTCTGCCCGTCGCTCAAGTTGCGGAGCAGCACACCGAGGCCGTATAAGGACGAGATACTGATGGGCCTACAGTCCTGCAAGGTCTTCCATTTTGCTGGGCACGGAAAGTCGGACCCCGCAGAACCATCGCAGAGCTGTCTGCTCCTACGAGACTGCAACGAAAACCCACTCACCATCGCAGATCTCCGCGACCATCGACTTCAGAAGAAGCCGTTCCTTGGATACCTTTCGGCCTGCTCGACAGGAGCAAACGAAGCGCCAGGACTTGCGGACGAGGGGATTCACTTGATCAACTCGTTGCAGCTCGCAGGATTTCGGCACGTAGTGGGCACGCTCTGGGAGGTCTCGGACCAGCACTGTGTGAATGTAGCCCGGGTCTTCTATGAGACGCTCAAGGACGAAGGGATGACAGACGTGGCCATTTGTCGAGGGCTGCACCAGGCGACTAGGATGTTGCGTGACGGCTGCGTCAACACAGATGTAGGAGAGAGAAAGGCGTTTCCTGTACATGAAGGGGTTCTCAGCAGGGGCTTGGTGAACCACCACTGGATCCCTTACGTTCATTTCGGCGTTTGAATTTGAGGGGGTCTTGCTGCGGGAGGGCCCGAAGGCGCCCCAGCCGCTGCGAGTTGCGGGGGTTACGACACTGCAGCTGAGAGTGGATAAACCATCATCACATTCATTCCAGTGTCCTTAGTGGTAATAGCTAGGCATCTATCATATTCACATACTCCTCACTCGCTGCGAGGATGCTGCAAAGTTCCACGCATACAATGTGACTATCATATCGAAACCCAAACACCTCCTCATCATAAGCAGGAGAGGCGACACTCCGCTCGCACTAACCAATATCCATTTAGAGTTCTTATATTTGAGATACGACAGAGGGCCCCCACTAACACATCATCCCATGCCCAGCGCCATCGCCGTCTACGTTAGCTTCGTTGGGCTTGCGTACATGCACCAGAGCAAATGCGGATGCCACATCCACAACAATGATATTGACGACCTCGACTTTGCGGACGAGTACGACACAGACACCCTGTCGAATGATGACTGCACCAAGAGCTGGAGGAGGCTCGCCCTTGACAGTACTTACCATGCTGCTTGCTCATGGTACCTGTTTTGCTCCTAGCCCCCGTAGTGAACGTAGGGCGTCCAGTTCAACCTCTCTGCTACTCGCCGTTTGCCAGGATTTCTCGAGCTTGCTTCATCCGGGACGTGTCCGTGTCGTCTTCTCACCCACTCATCCCGAAGCTTCCGCGTAGCATGATTCAAGGCACGCGCGACGGTCCCATCGTCATCCGACTCCGTGCTTAGAATATGTTCGTATGTCATCTTCGCCGTTCGTGCGGACTGCTCGTCATCCACATCCCACAGTGTGCTCACGACGTTTCGAAACCCCGCAAGCAAGAAAGCGCTCGCCAGGTGCGTTACCTCGTCCACAGATTTCTCGTCTTGGACCTCGCCTGTTCCGCATGCTGAAAGATAGGCGAGGTACGGAGACTTGGAGTCGAGGTTGCGCTCAAGTAAGCTGTTCACCGTCAAAGGTGCCTCTTTCCAGTCCTTCAACAACAGTTGGCTTTGCAGAGGGTTTGTAGGATGTGCGCTGCCGTGCCCTGCGAAGTGGAAGACATCGCAGGATTCCAATTCTAACAAGACTTCCAATCTAGAGGGCATAGGCTGAACGCACTGCAGGCCGTCTGCGCGCCCTGTGACGTCTAAAATCGCCTCCTTCTCGACCCCCGTGTATTCTAGGGTTGCCTGGTCTGGCGTCTCCCTCATCGCGACGATCACCATCTTTGAGCCTAACGACGTTGCCGAAAGTTTCATCGTTGGACGCGGTTGGGTGTGCTTGATCCCTCTTAAGGACCAGCTGTAGGAAGAAATTGCTCTATCTAATGTCGTTTGACGATCCTGTCGAAGGTGATAGCCGGTGGCATGGAGAGGAAACCTCACCAACGGGCCAGTGGGAACCCACCAAATTCGCGGCCAGGTTCCGACGGCTGGCTGATCTAGACCCAATGTTAGGAGCACAGGGTGAACGATCGTATCCCAGAGCCACTCAAGGGTAGCCTGTGTTTTCACTTGGGTGACCCTTTCCATAATCCCTTGCTGAGTACAGCTGGGTAGGTTCTGTACCTGGATATCGGAGGGGGTGATGATGATGGCGTCGCAGCGAAAAGAGCTGACATTCAGAATGACTACAGGGCCCCGCGAGGCGGCCTTTCTGATGGTTTCATCAGACGGTGGGAGTAGAAACCCTTCGAACTGCGGTATTTTCCGAATCTCGCGGAGAGTGTCTTGGAGGGCTTTGGATGCGCTATAGCGTTGGTCCGCGCTGACGTTGTTTCTCGGCTCGCCTGGTAATAAGCCTTCCGTGGAGATCGGGCTGTCAAGCTGGTTACGTTGCGCAATGAAAGCCTCCGCCAGTGAGGGGTGGCTTTTCTGTAAGCTGGATAGGTCTGTTCGCATGTCTTGGATCGCGCCGGCGAGAATGCCTCGACCAGTCTCGAGCAGTCTAACGGCCTCTGTGGTCTCTTGGAAACGAAGTGCGATGGCAGCCGCATCTGAAGCTATTCCCACAGCTTCAGCCAGGACATGCTGCTTGTCTGCGTTTTGAAGAGAATGGGGAGCTAACAGAGGTACCAACTCGGTTGTTGTCTTGGCAATATCATAAGCCAGCTGAGCGTCATCTTCAAGAATGTTTGGGAGCCTCAGGAATCTTCGACCAGCATGAATACGATCTCGTACTCCATACATTTCTTGACTTGACACCGTAGCATAGAGTGCCTTGGCCTCTGCCAGATCTGTCGCCGCTGAGGATTTCGAGTATCTGTCTATGAGCCAATTCGCAAGATTGTTGGCGTAGGTAGCTCGGCCTGAGTGGTCTTCTTCGATGAGTTGGAGGGCTCTCCTCCCGAAACTAATGGCTTCTTCAAGATACCCATCCTTCGAAGATGCTTGCCACATCAATTGATTGATTCCCCCGCATGTATTCAGGTACACGACTAGCCGTGGGTCATCTTGATCTGTAGCTTCTGTGGCGGCGTAGGCAAATTTTGAAGCTTCATTTAGATCATCCAGGGAAATCGTCCTCTGAAACCTGTCGTGAAGATCGCCTGCTAAATTATGTGCGCATGCTGCCCAATCCCGATGAACAGAAGGAATGGTCTCAACAGCGTTGCGGGCTAAGCGGATAGCCTCATCTAAGTCCTCCAAGTTTCTCAACCTGATGTACCTGGCTTTAAGTATGCCTGCTAGAGTCATTGACTGCTTGTAACGGTTCTTTGACTCTAGAGGAGTAGCTTCGACTGCCCGTTGGGCAAGTGAAACGGCTTCTTCGAGATTTGAAAGGGCTCCCTCAATCTCGAATCTTCTTGTGAGCCAGGACGCGAGATTAGATAACCCCTCGACCCTCTCTCCACCTTGAGAAGCGTCGACATTTTCTCGAGCTAGCTGAATGGCCTCATCCAGATCTGCTAATACTCCCTTCCTTTGATGTCTTTCAACAAGCCAAACTGCAAGGCTGTTTCTATAGTCCACCCAGCTAGGGTCCTTTGATGGGGTGTATAAGATAGCCTCGCGGGTGATTTGAATCGCCTCATCTAGCTTGTCAACATCCCCTGTCTTCGAGTAACTATCACCAAGCCAGTGCCCGAGAATGGTCCTCAACTTCGTTTGGTTTTCATCGTCGTCTTCCGGGGTTTCATTCAAAAGCTGACGCGCTAGATGTATGGTGTTCTCTGATTCTTGCCTATCATTCATGGAGTCTCGCTTCCCGTCGAGTAGATTCAAAAGCTGCATTGAAAGGTTGAATTTCTCTTCATGATTTGAAGACGTGGCATCGACATTTTCTCTTGCAACCTGAATGGCTTCGTTGAGATCTCTCTCGTCTGAGTGCTGGGAGTATCTGTCATTGAGGAGGTTTGCGAGAGTGAAACAGCATGATGTCCAGTTCCAGGTTCCCCGAGGAAGAGACTTCACAGCTTTTCGTTGCTCTTGGATGGCTTTTTCTAGATCCGAGTCTGTACGAGTATTCGAGTGTTTCTGATGAAGTAGAATCCCCAGAAGTCTCACGTCACCCTGCCATTCCTCACTGCCCTGTACCGAGGTCTCAATCACTTGTTGTGCAGCCTTGATAGCTTCCTGTAGGTCAGCTATGGCTGAGGAGCACTCGTATCGGACATTCCAGAGGACTGCCAGGCAGCGCAGGCACACAGCCCGGTGTTTGGCGCCCGCTGGCAATTCCATAGCTGCGTGCGTCGTTTTCAAGGCTTCTTTGAAATCTTTATCGGCTTTGGTGCTCCTATACTTTCTGCCAAGCAGGTTACTTAGGCTGCTCATGTAGTCGGATCGGTCCGGTGAAGGCACTGGGGTGACTTCCAGTGCATGACGGACCATTCGGATAGCCTCGTCCAAATCAGCCGCATCCCCTGACATCATGCATTTATCGTTCAACCAGCTACACAGTCTGTTCAAACGGTTGGTCCAACGTGGATGGTCTTTGGGCGTGGCGTCGTAGCATTGTTGGGCTAAATTGATGGCCAATCCAATGTCATCTTGAGCGTTTTGCAAAGCATTTGTCTTCAGATGCAGAGCGTGTCTCTTCCGATACAGGATCGAAAGGACGTCCATACATTCTTCCCGCTCCGAATGGCCGGCTGGTATGTTATCGATGGCGTTCTGAGCCAGTTGCGTGGCAATGTCTAGTGCAGTGATAGTCGCATGAGGCTCAACGAGCGTAAGGTGAAGTTTATTGAGATATCCCGGCCACACCCGGTAATCACCAGGGACAGCATTGATGGACAGTATCGCCTGTTCAATAGCTCTCTCGATATTAGCCATGGTTTGATATGCGATTGTCGACGTATTCGGTCTTCTTTCGTGGGCAGAATAATGAGGAGGAGGGTGAGGAGGGTAAGGAGGGTGCTCGACATCCCTCGCCACGCTTAAGTGGATAGCCATAGTACGTTCTCGTGCTTAGACAAAGAGGAACAGCGAGAAACTCATGAAGTGGGCCACTGGAATAACAACTTCAATGCTACGTCCTTTCATCTGATATTCACTTAGTGGAGTGCGGTGCTGGAGCAACACATCGTGCATGATGGCGCAGCGATACCCAACGGGTCTCTTCCCGCCCCGCCCTCCCAAGCTCTGTTAGAGCAAAGCACGCAGAAACCCTCACTACCTTGTCAATCATTGGTCTAATGCTGCGAGAGGGTCCTCATTTGCGTGCAGCGAGAGATGATTTGTCAAAATTGCCTGCGTATTGCCTCTGGAAGGTGGGAGGGGCAGTTGTCCCGTACGGCAGCAATGCATCCAGTCTACATTCAAGAATGACAACACCATGAGGCGGGCTGTAGATTAGGGTTCAAATACGTTCATGCCCAACAATCAAATCATATCAATACCGTGATAAGCACACTTTGGAAAGATTCATCTTTGAGTGCTTATCATAACCTTCGCCTCATCTACAGCTGTTTTCTGCTAGATCCGACATGGACACGATACAAAAGAGAACATACCTTGTCTTTACAAGGGGCATGATGCCCAGTAAGCTGCGTCTCGGGAGTCTTCATGTCAACCCTGCAAATCCTCAAGGCCCCGAGAGCCATAGATGGACCTCGGATTTTACGTATGTAACTATGACCCCCTTCATCCCAGTTGCTACTTCTTCATGAGTTGACTGGGGGGTCCATGGATTTGTAGATCCAACCAACTGGACCGTTGGACGGGCGAAGCCGAAATCGAACATCCCATCTCAATCGAGGTTCGTGCAGGCCGAGAGTGGCTTGTGGCTGCAGGCTTATTTCAGTTGTTGAGAGGAGAGCTTGCTCGTTCTAAAACAGTCGAGGTCAAGGTACAGGGCGAGCACGGCCGTAGAGTTGAGATTGATCGGTACGTTTTCCAACAAAACGGTTCGTTCTTCTGACTTATTCACGGACTTAGACCGGAAGCCTTCCTGAAAGACGTGGTTTTGAATTCCGCCGAAGCAAGAACATGGTTAGGGGCCCAATTTTCAGCCATTCGACAAATGTCTATTTTCAAGAGGCTTCACCGCACTATGTCAAAAACCCCGAGGATTTGGATGGTTACTGGACTTCAATATGTTACCAAAGCGCATATTACTACCCGTCAAATGATGTCTTCATCGACTTCAGCTGGCGTAACGGTGCCGCTACCAGACATCGCAGCTGCCATAGCTCAGTTGAACATCATTGGAGTGGATGCTTCTTCTGGACGATCAGAGGGCTCTGGAACAATGTCCTACCATCCGGATGAGAGGGTATGGGCCGCGCAGTTCTCGCCTGTGACCTTTAGTTACCTGCAGAATATGGGTCAAGGTGCCGAATCCCAATTAATGCACCTCATCCAGCTGCGTGAACCCCCAGACCTTGGCATGGGGGGAATCCGCCGAGCTGAATGTGATGACGACGGCAAAACTCATGGGGTAACAGGGCAGACATTTTGCCAGATCATTGGACTCGATTGCACGAAGGAAACATGCGAAGAAGGGGAGAAGAGCACTGTGCTCGAAGAAGTGCTCGATGTCGACTGGGAGCAGTATAGCAAGCACTTGTTATCAGATTGAATTGCTTGCACAGTTGTACCAAGTACTTGACGAGTGACACGTATAAATGGTGCGTAACGTGCTGTTTGGCATGAACTCATACACAGCGGGAGTCAGATGGGCAGTGAAAATCCCTCACATTGGGTGATGCTGCAGTAAGTATCTGCATGCAGCAACGGAGCAACATCCTGTGCGGCGGCCCATATTTACTGCCGTCAGCACATGGCCACGTCATCAACGACCAAAGGGAGGGAGGTTAGTAGGGAGGCAACAAAACAGGCTGCGCATTGTGGTTTCAGTCGATCAGTAATTTTCTTTGGAAATCAACCCGTTAGACATTAAATGTCCTACAGCGGGCCAAGTTGGAAATTCAGGACAACACGGAAAGGTTGATCCAGCCGATACGGGTATTCATTGAGCTCCTGGGGAGGCGGAAGAATCATGAGAACCTCAGGGCTAATACCACAGACACTCGATGAATCGATAGTCCACACCCCTAACATTATATATCCTCTGTGACAGGTTACACGCTGGTCAGAATGGGGAAGAAATGCCAGGACCCAATCCATCCCCTGCCTACTAGAATGGGGGGTTGCGGGGTGAACCATCGATCCAGCAAGTTCTTCTGGCATCTGGTGACTGCGGCTAAGAGTTGGGTCGGCGGCCTCCCGTTGCCAGCCGAATGAGCAATAATTGCTCGCATCTCCTTTCATGTTCATATCGCTGAACTTGGGTATGAATCGACAAAGCAAGTAACCCCTTGATCGAAAACATTGACCGCCGCCTTTTGAACCCCCCCTACAAGCCGCTCATCTTAATGTGACGGGCTTTTCCCAGGAATTAGAGAGTTTTCATACAATTAAACTCTTAAGCATTTCATTGCCACTCGCACCTGCCATACAGAATGCCGGATATATGGGCTCTTCTGGTCGGCAGCAACTTCTACTTCACCGGGAGTGCTCGGAGCCGGAATGGACAAAACATATCACTCAACAACCTTTCAGGCTGCGTACGTGACGTGGATTGCACGTTTAACATGCTTCGCAATCGCGGTGTCAAAGAGCAGAATATCTCGAAGCTAACGGCATCTACCTCCGAGAACGGAGAACGACCAATTGAACCACCGGATTGCTGGCCAACCTTCAAGAATATCCAGAGAAAGCTGGTCGATATCACCAAGCGTGCTCAGCCAGGGGATATTGTTTATTTTCACTACTCAGGCCATGGCGTTCAGCGGAAAGCTGTCCAAGTACCCCAGACAGACGCGGACCCTCTTGTTGGCATGGCCTTGGTCATGACTGACGTCTTGGAAGGCGAACCCTTTCTCACAGGCTACCACTTAGGTCTTTGGATTCGAGGAATGGCGGAGGACAGGAACCTCAGATGCACCGTCATTCTGGATAGTTGCCACTCAGGTGAAGCTTTCCGGAACGCTGGTGATTTCGTCCCACGAGACATAACTGCAACCATCTCAAGTATGATTCTTCAAAGCGACAAGCAAGCCGACAGGGAAGCCGAAAGCGCGTATCTGGAGCATCTTAGCTCGCATGATACCAGAAATTCGATCAAGGACCCTAGGCCATGGCTCCTAAATCCCAAGAACGCTACCATCATCACGGCCTGTGATAAGCACGAAACCGCCGGAGAGCGCACAATCGACGGTATAAGACAAGGTGTGTTAACGCATAACCTTCTTCACGTACTGCGTGACTTTGATGGACCACTTTGGCCCTCACATTCCCACCTACTCCATGACGTACGGCGGCGAATCAGGAATATTCACGGGCATGAACGTACAACGCAAACTCCATTGCTCTATGGTGACGGAAATATTGAGGTTTTGGGGACGACGGCCTTTCACCAGAGCGAGGTCGCAGCCATCACTCCGAGAGATGGGAAAATCCTCATCGAAGTAGGCGCCTGCCAGGGTGCAGCTGTTGGAAGTATCTACGACCTACTGTGCCCAGCGAAGATTGGACTGTCGGGCCATCAAGATGTCGGAGCCCAAGCTCGTGTTGAAAAGGTGGATTCTTTCAGCTGCACGGCTCGACTACTCGACAACAGTCACGAGGTGGACGCGACCTGGCGAGCTGCTCTTCGATACTGGGCTTTTCATCCCGATTTCATCATCGCTGTCGTCGGTGATGAGCCCCCGTACCCCGGCTTTCTCGATAATCTGAGGGAGAAATTGCGGGTGTATGAAGGACTCCGTCTATGGGACGGACCGCTTGATTCGGACGATCAGGCCGGCCTCTTTCTCGAAACTACCAGAAAAGGACCTTTCCGCATTCTCGATAAGGAACGCAATCCAGTAGCAAGACTGCCTTCGGTGCAAGCTGATGACACCATGGCGCCCGAGAAATTGGCTTACACCCTCAGTCACCTTGCGCGCTACCATCGTCTTCTGGATCTGTCATCCATGCCGGCGTTCCAACAGTTCAGGTCCGATCGATTCATTCTGGACACTAAGCCGCAAACGCTCAGGGAATCCGAGACTTTGAAAATCAGCTACAAGTACCTTGGGCCTTCAGACACTGCATGGATTTCAATATTCTGCTTCAACGCGTCTTGGGGTATTGACAAGATTGAACCAGAAGGCACCGAGCCTGCTTGCAGAATCCGCGCATTAGAAGTTCCGGAACAAATTGAGATGGACGTCTATGTTCCCAACGCTGCGGAAAATGACGTGTCTGGGCCAATCGAAGATAGATATGTGCTGTTCGCTTCAAGCGGAGAGAGCGCCCCTATCTCATGGGGTGAAATATGTCTTCCGTCTCTCCCTGTTGATAGTCGGGAGTTACTAACCCAAATTTGCACACACACGTCTGACAGCACCTCCGATAGAAATGGGATTAGGAAAAAGGGTACTGCTGACACCAAAATTCTATGGACCACCCAGGAGCAAGCTGTTACGGTCATTCCAGCTACCCAACCTTAGATTAAATCGAGAAGACTCTGCCTCGATTACTGACATGCGCTCAACCTGCGAGTGCCGTGAGGAATGCGCTTTTTTTCTGATAAGATACTAGTCCAGGAAGCAAACGGTGGCGGCCTTGTGTATTGGCTATCTTCTCGGTTGAGAAACGACAGCTTCTCATACCCATAAATGAGTTGACGTATCTGCGATGAGGTCATTAATTCTCACGAACCTCCTTGGAGCTCGTCGGCTTTACACATGCACTTTCCCAATCGCATAGCATCTTGAACTATCTGACATTCATGGGACAAGATCTCTCCCACTTATCAAAAAGATCGTGATTCCATATTCATGCTTAACCCCTCTCTCGCCTATCATGAAGGCTGCTATGGTTGCAAGACTACATCTCCGCCCCGAGCCTCCGGCTTATCGTTGTCGTCTTTGCATTGAAAACCATTCGCTTCTTGTTATTCTCATGAACTGAGAATCTCCGCCTCTGCCTCCTGCAAAGTCTGTACCATAACTAGTATGTCTACATTTTCCCCCTCAAGTCATTCCTCATAGCCCTCGACCAGTGAGAGTTACCAGAGGCATCTCCAGTCAGCTTTTTGGTACCTCCTGAACCTGCCTCTGCTCTACCTCAACCTTTGTAAGACCCGTAACTTCCCTTCTTCAACCTCGAATAGTAAGTCTCGCCAGAGGCATCTCCAGTCGGCCTTTGGGTGCCTCCAGAACCTGTCTCTGCTCCACCTCCACCTTGCCATGAACCATAACCTCCTTTCTTCAGCCTCGAGTAGTAAGACTCGCTAGAGGCATCTCCTGTTGGCTTCCAGGTGCCGTATGACCCAGCTCCAGCACTACCGCCTTTGTATTGCCAACTTCCTCCAGATGGAATCTGTCCGGTTCCGCCACTCCACATTTGAGAATCACCTGCAACATCTGCCGCTGGCTTCTGGATGCCCTCTGCAGATTTCTGCCAGTCCGCAAAGGCTCCTTTCATTTTCCCGGGCCCCCATAGCTGTGAGCCCTCGCTGGTTTGTCCGGCTGGGACTTGTTGGCTATCTGGCTCACCGCCGCCGGCTCGAAAGTTTCCTCCCGGGCCATCTGGAAGACTCCCCATGTCGACGTCAAGCTTCCATTGACCACCAGAAGGCAGACCACCAGAAGGCAGGCCGCCAGTGCCACCTTGGCCCGATGGAATGCCTCCATGAGCATCAGCATCGTCGTCCGCAATCCACTTTCGGAGTTTTCTACGGTCGGGGATCTCTTCTTCATACTCGACCCATTTACCACCCTTTTCACGTCCAACACCATCTTCAGCTGCGCCAGATGCCCCTGAACCAGATCCATGACCAGCATAGCTAGCCTCACCCTCGCCACTTGGGGGATACTGAGGCTCTGTGGACCCGTCCGCTCCGGCGCGGTTCTCACGTCCCCCAGATCCGCCCTTGGGTATCGTGGCAGGATCGGGTACTTGGACATTCGAGTCTGGAACTGTACCCGTGTTCCCGGAATTCGTTTCTGCACCTGGCGATATAGAGATGTCTGGCTGCTCTTTGTCTGCCAGATTAGTGCTGTCTTTGCCGGCCTGCGTATCGCGTTTGGCTGTTTCGTTATTGCTGATTGGGTCGTCAACAGGGATGCTGTCCTGCGTACCGTCTGGTGCTCCCTTACTGACGTCTTCGCTGGATGAAGGCTTCCCAGTCAAAGGCTTCTGAGATTTGTCCTTGGAGTCGCCAGCTGGTTTGCGTAGGCCACCAGACCCAGAGATGAGCCCTTGTGCGCCAGCCAAGCAGAACTTGTACTCGACGCACGGCGCAGTCACCAACTTGCAGCGTCCGTCCTCGAGAACCTCGTCCTCCTGGCACTCAGGTACGGCCTTGGCGAAACATTCCCCGGTGACGGCGTTATAGACGTGACCCTCGGAACAGGTAGGCTCCTTGACAGCAACGCAACTCTTTCCATTGAAGACAAAGTTTGCATCGCACTTGGGGTCGTTGCTCGAAACGCACTCGCCGTTCTCGAAATAGGTATTCTCAGGACAGTCAGGCGTGACTCCCATGCAGCCAGTGCCGTTGAAAACTTGATTCTCTCCACAGCTAGGCGGCAACGCCGACACGCACTGCCCATCCTTGAGAACATAACCGGGCTTGCATGTTTCTTTCTCGATCGAGACGCAGGTCCCTTTGACCAAAGTCTTGCCGTCTGGGCAACTGGGTCCATCTACCGATCGGCACCCGTCATCTGTGAGGACGAACCCAGCTTGGCATGCAGGCTGACCATGAACACAACGGCCGTCTCGGTAGACTGCTGGTGGTGTACAAGTGGCTTGAATGGTAGTGACGCATTGCCCTTCCTGGTTGAGCACTGAGCCAGATGGGCAGACCGGGGCGTCCTTGATGGATAAACACCCGACGCCATCAAAAGCAGTGCCTTCAGGACAAGAAGGCTTGCTCCCGATGACGCAGGCGCCATCGTGGAGCACTCCTCGCGCACATTCTGGTCTTCGGTTGAGGTTGCACCGTTTCCCATCCCATTCCGCAGACGTACCGTCACACGTTGGCTTGGCGTAGCTGACGCATTTGTCGCCCTCGAGGATCGTCTTCCCGGTGCATGTGGGACTTGATCGGAGAATACATTTTGAGTCGTGGTACAGGTATCCCTCGGGGCAGCCGGGCGCTTCCAAGGTGGATACACAGGTATCACCATCCGGATAGGTGTTGTTGGGGCAATTCGGAACTCCTCGCTTCACGCACTGATCTGCTTCTAGCATCCAGCCGCTTGGACACGAAGGATGACGGTTGGAATACTTGATGCACTCTCCATCTTTGTATGTTGTACCGGATGGGCAATCGTCAGTGGTTGTCGTGGACTTGCAAGTATCTCCTGAGACAGTCGTCCCGTCTGGACAGCAGCGAGAAATTCCCGATGCTCTGTCTGTAGAGATCTTTGTTTCACTGGGGCATCTGATTGCAGTGTGGTTGAGTCAGTTCTCTGGCTAATATTCATCCTCATCGGTTTGAATAATACTGAATAGAAGTACTTACTTGGCTTCGCTCACGTCCACACATGATTGTCCTTGGAGCGTTGTCTCGCCAGGGCATTGAGGCTTGCTGCTCACTGTGCAGGATCCACGTTCAGGATCAAATGTCGAGTCGCCTTGACACTGTAGGTGTTGATCAGCACACATTTCCCTATCTTCGCCACTCGTTCATATGGATAGACATACCTTTGGCCCTTCGGAAGAGGTGCATTGGCCGAACTCAAGAGTCGCCCCATCAGGGCATTGAGGGGACTTCTCTGACATACATTGCCGGCTCGAGGACACGTAGCGGGCTCCCGGCGGACATTGAGGGTCCTTCTTGGAGATACACGAAGCGCCTTCGACTTTGGATCCGTTAGGACAAGATGGGCCTTCGGGCGTCACGCAGCTGGCTCCGTGAACGACATCACCCTCAAGGCACTGAGGCTTCTTAAGGGACTCGCAGATGGCACCACGAAGCTGGAACCCCTCGCCACAGGTGGGAGCACGCTCATGAACACAGTGTTTGCCAACAAGAACAGTGCCATGGTCACAGGCAGGCGGCTTCCGAGAGGTGCACTGGCCGTCGCTGTACTCGTAGCCGTTGGCGCATTCCGGAGGAGCGTTGTGAAGACAGTGCTTGCCCTTGCGGTACGTCCCAGGAGGGCATGAAGGCCCGGTGATGATACAACTCTTGCCGTCGAAATCAGTACCGATGGGACAGCACTTCACGCGGCCTGAGTTGGGGTCGGTGGTGGGTATGATGCTGTCCAAAGTGTGCTGAATGGCTGATCCGGAGGATCCCAGTGAGAATGGACCGCCTAGGATCTGAGAGGACTGCTTGGCTAGACAGCAACTGAAGAGAAGCCAAGGAGGCGCTAGAATAGCCAGACGCATCTTTGCAAGAGCGCTGAGCGGTGGGTGTAATAAAGATACGATGAACGATGAATGTAACAGAATGAAGAGCGAGTTGCTGATGAATGATGCCAACTGAATCTTGGACGAGCAGAGAGATTCCTTCCTTACTATGCCTTTATACTCAGGTATACAGTGGTCTTCTGTCAGTCACTTTGTTGTTATGAAGATGATGTATCTAAAGTGCAACACGTCATTCGGTCAAACTTCAAGCAATACAAGGCGGCTGACGAACGTGCCATGCCCAATCAATCAACTCAATTGCCTTCTCCGAGCCATCATTCTTGATGCCGCTCGGGAACTCATGTTGTGCCAGAGTCTCCATATACGCAAGTCACGCACTTTGGTTCAACGCGGCCTCCAGGCCGCCTGAGCACAAAGGCCAACAGCCGAACTGAGTTCTAGTTGACGTGTTAAAACCCGTTCCAAGCGAAAGATCAGCCTTTCATCGGGTTGAAGCAGACTCGGTTGAAGCAGACTCTGAGCACATTAGCCTCGGCCTGTTGCCGGTGTGGCAGGCGGCCGAGGGCGGTCTGAACATGGATTCAATCAGGAAGTGGAATCACGGTGTTGGATAACTGGTGTAATGTTTGTAGCACGTAGTGCGTGAGGCTCATGTTGTGATGACTGCAGGGCAATGTTGAGCTGCTGTTCTGGACCCGCCTATCTTCCGTACCGGTACGAGATGCGATGGAGTACGCGCCTCCCGTTTCCGTGAATCGACACAGCTGTATATAGTGACTCTCGCCTCACTGGTTAATACAACAGCGCCGAATAGAGGCATTCCTGTTAATTAGCACTGAAACCCGCATCTCTAAATCATCGATCTCGATGGTTGTAACATGAGTGCTACGTTGATCTGCTGGCCGACGAGACACAAGCCTGCGGCTCCTCGCAAGTGACGCGACATTGAACCCCGCCTATGCGTAACAGTCTGTGTTATCATGGTATAATTGTATCGAAAATGTGGAATCAGGTTCTGAAGTCGGTCAATGAAAAGCTTTTGGTTACTGCCGAATGAAACAGGCTCAGGCTTTGGAGGAGGAAAGGATAAAAGCAAAAGACCAACCCATCACTTCGAAACCTCAAGCACTTCACATCACATTACAATCCATTAAAACTTCATACCTGAATCTGTACCACCGTTCCTTCCTTTCCCAACATTTAACATCACCATTGCTGACCACACTCCAGAAAGTCGACAATGAAGATCTCTATTCTGTCACTCACCACTCTACTCGCAGCTGTTGCTGTTGCGCAGAAGCCGGTGACCGAAGATGAAGCGAATGCCTGGCAGTCGTGCACTTGGGCTCTGCTTGACAAGTTCAACAAGGGAGACGATGGTTCCAAGGCTGCCTGCGACCTGTGGGGCTGCTTGCAGCTTATGTCTTCTCGATACCACCGCGGCGGAGGCCTTACGGTACTTTCGAGGGCACTCGATCCCATTTGTGGCGTCACCAACTTGGGTAGCAATCTGCTGCCAAAATGGGACATGTTCCAGGTATGAAGACTTTGCAAGTCAGATGTGATGTACTGACCTGAGTGCAGCATCTCTGAGAAGCCACGGCAGTACACTTTCAGGGTGGCCACAACACCCGGGTGAGCAGCAAGCAATGCTGACACTCAAAGTCAAGAACGAGAAGCCTGCTGGTCTCGTAGATACATGCGGCTGATTACTCGAGGTCTTCAGATTATCTCCAGGGAGAAAAGTGTTGCAAGCAGAGTCTGGACTGCGTATCAAGTTTCATCGGCCCGCTCTGTTATGCCAAGCTTGGGATATATTTGGAAGTTGAAAAGTGAAGTCTCAGGTTCTAGGATGTTTCTAAACAAATAAACTTGCCTTTGACTTAGTAATGGTTTACTCGTGCTATATATTCATACTGTTTTGAGTACGAAGGAGGGAGCCTTGTCCATGATCTTGACGTCGTTGATCGGGCCGCGGAGGCCTGAAAAGGGCCTGGCGATCAAAAGGGCGCGTTTCGTTGAAGTCATCGCTACTAACTTGAAGACTCTGTGAGAAAGCATACTGGTACACAATGGGGTCGTGATCCATGTACTCGGGAATTAATCATACAAATACCACTGGCATGCAAACGTGAATCTGCCTTGACCTGGAAGCTTAGAAGCATTGATCAGGCTTGCGGCAAGTTTCACCAATTTATCAGCTCCGCGATCGATGTTGTTCATACAAACACACACTAGAAGCCGTTTTCTGGGCTTAGCAGCTTTGTGATCACCGGACCCCTCGCATGCCAACCGCACTCTGTCCTTCTTTACCCGCACGTGGTGTTATGAGAACGACGCGGCATTCCTGCTGCCTAAATGCTGCAGGATATGTGATTGAACCTGCATATATCCCTGGAGCTGCGTTGGCGTTTGAAGTGGCCAACGCATGCACATGACTGTTGAGGTCAGCAGATGTTTCTGGGGAGCATGCGACAGCCTTACCACTACATCCCATTGCGATGATTGCGAATGGTTGAATGCCATTGCGGAATTTTTGTAGGACTTTTGTAATGCGCCGCGGTCTATGTGCCTATGGTTTTGAAGCAAGGCCTTGGTGCCCAATGTTGTATTTTCTGCGAAGTCTGCCGAGCAGTGAAAAGTTCTCGTGGCAGGGGCGGCTCATTTCTTGCATGGCAGTTTGCCAGGTTTGTACATCACTGAGTGGAGCAGTTTGCACAAAGTGACTGTGACTGACAGCGTGTACCATGCATGCACTCATGTGGGAGCTCGTAAGTGGGTTGTTATCAAACACATTTCAGCCACGTCATATTCATAATTACCCCCTACGTAGAACAATCGGTCTTCCTCTCTGGAGAGTGAACTCTGCGTGAACTCTTCAACATTCTCCGAACGACCGTGACGTTTCATCGATTAGACTCCTTGAGCTGTGAGACAAACCATACATCTTTGCAAGATAACGACCGCTGAGTGTTCTGGAAGTTCTGCAACAAGGGAAGGTTACTGGTACCTTCGACGGGCCCTCTCTGTATGTTTCGAAGTCTCCATCGGACAGCGCTGAGCAAGACTAGCCATCAACGACAAAACTCTTGAATACGTGACAGATTCTATGAGAACTTAAAGTCCGGCACCTTCATCATGACCGAAGATGAGGAGCAAATGTACGACGGGCGAGACAGCCCGGAGATCCCTTCACCCGGGACCGATCGAATCCTGTTAAGGCGGCCAAGCAAAATGAACCTTGGGAATGTGCTCTTTCATCTATACTGCGAGACGAGAGACTTGGACACACTTGATGAGGCAATATCGACTGCAACACAAGAGGTTTCCGCGGTACCTCAGGATGATCCCAGCCTAGCAAGTTGGTTAGATGACCTTGTAAACATGTTCCTATGCCGACACGAGGAGACGGAAAGCTTGGACGACCTTGAAAATGCAATTTCGAATGCAAAAAGAGCAGAATCGATATCTACTATGGCCAATCATGACCCCGAACGATTACCATGGCTGGATGATCTTGGGCATATGCTATTCCGCCGATATGTGCGGACAGGAGATGTGGATGACCTTAGCGCTGCGATATCGACCACGAAGGAAGCGCAACCAACGCCCACCTCGACTGGAAACGATCACAATCGAGCAAGCTGGCTAAATGGCTTTGGGGGAATGCTGTTCAGCCGATATAAGTTAACAGGAAATACGGACGACCTCGAGGCTGCGTTATCAAATATGAGTCTTGCCGTCTCTTTGACGCCTCAGAATGATCCCGGTCTACTGGGTTTGTTAAACAACACCGGGACTGTATGCTCTAGCCTGTATGAGGAGACCGGAAACTTGAGCCACCTTGAAACTGCAGTCTTGTATGCAGAGCAAGCAGTCTCTGCTACACCTAAGAATGATCCCGACCTTACGAAGCGGCTACATAACCTTGGACTAAGACTATTACGTCGATACGAACGGATAGGGAACCTCGAGGACCTGGACTCTGCAATATCCATGGTAGAGCAAGCAGTCTCTGTCTTACCTGAGGGCCATTACGAACGACCATCATACCTCAACAGCCTTGGGGGTTTGTTGTTGAACCGATACGACCGGACAGGAAACAGAGGCAACCTTGAAGCTGCAATACTACATACAGCTCAAGCGGTCTTCAATACGCCCAACGATCATCCGGATATATCGATATGGAAGAACAGCCTTGGCGATAGGTTATTCCGCCGATATCAGCGAACAGAGGACATGGACGACCTTGAGTCCGCACTGCTGAATACGACGCAAGCAATCTCTAATACACCGGAGAGCAATCCCCACCTCGCAACATGTCTAAATAGCCTTGGAAACATGCTTTCGAGCCAATACGAGGAGACGAGAAATATGGACGTCCTCAAGGCTGCAATATCAAGCATGAGGAAAGCAGTCCAAATAACACCCAAGGGCCACTCCAACCGGGCAAGACTACTAAGCAACCTCGGGCTTTTCTTATTCCGCCAATACGAAAAGACAAATGACAAGGATATCTTTAACGATGCATTGCGGACTGCAAAGAGTGCTGTTGTTGAGACACCCAAGAACCATCCTGATTTGGCAAAATATCTAAGCAACCTCGGGGATGTACTGTTCTGCAGCTACGAGCAGACAGGAAAAATCGAAGATCGCGACTCCGCTCTTAGCCTTTTCGAAGAATCGACAAAATGCCCTACCGCGATACCTGTGGTGCGGGTGCAAGCGGCTCGACGAGCTATTCGGATTTTACTGACCTTGCCCATGTGGGAGCGGGCTTGCGAACTAGCCCAGGACGCAGTGAAGCTTCTTCCTTCTGTTTGTGACCGCTCTTTGGACCGTCAGGATCAGCAGCACGCAGTTTTGCAGACCGCAGGACTTGCGTCCGACGCGTGTTCTCTTTTTGTAAGGACGGGCCGTGTAAGTCAAGCCCTTCAACAAGTGGAATTCGGACGAGGCCTCATCCTCGGTTACTTGATCGACAACCGTAGCGATGCCTCCGCCTTAAAGAAGGATCATCCTGTTTTGGCGGACGAATTTGAGCGATTACGGCTTTTGGCATCCCAACCCATCGATGATGTTATAGAGCCTAGAGCTCGCGACCACTTCATCAACGGGCGCACGGAAGCACATCGCCAATTGGAGGACTGCCTGGATCGTATTCGTCGTCATCATGGCCACGAAAGGTTTCTTCTAGAGCCAACGCTGGACGAACTGCTTCAGTGTGCCACCGAAGGGCCCATTATAGTTGTAAACGTCACAAGCATTAGCAGTGATGCGATCATTGTCTCCAGCTCTGGTTGCAAAGCAATCAACTTACCAGAGATCACTTCATCACAGGACTCGGTCCTGGCCAACGCTTTCGGCATGTCCAGCTCAAAGGATGGATATCGCGAGAAACATGTTCGAGATATCAAAAGCGAAAGGGAGGTCACGACAAAATACAGCGTTGGATTCTTGTCTTGGCTATGGAAAGTTTGCGTGAAACCGATCTTCACAGAGCTTGATATCGCTCCTTCTGCGGAGCCTCCTCGGATGTGGTGGATTGGCACAGGCGTCGCCAGCTCGTTTCCGTTCCACGCTGCCGGCCTTTATTCGGATGAATCACGAGAAGATACGCTAAGTCTAACGATTCCCTCCTACACTCCGACAATAAAGTCGCTTGTGTATGCGAGATCCTGCGCAGCGAGAAATAGCGACAAGCACGCTGAGGCTTCGGTTCTAGTCGTTGCGATGCCTGAGACACCTGGCCAAAAATCACTCTCCGGGGTCATCGAAGAAAGTAAAGCTATCCAGAAAGCTCTTGGAGATGCTTCCAAAGTCGAGTATCTGGAAAAGCCATCGGCGAAAGAGGTAATGGACAGGATGAGACAGTCAGATATCGTTCACTTTGCGTGCCACGGATCTTCAGATAGCGCAAACCCTTCGGACAGCCACCTACTTCTGCAGACGACTACCTTAGAAGGGCCATCCTTGGATAAACTTACTGTTCAAGCAATTTCAGAAAAGCGATCTCTTGAAAAGGCGCGCATTGCTTATCTCTCGGCATGCTCAACCGCAGAAGTCAAGGATGGACAATTCGCCGACGAAGCCCTCCACATTGTCAGTGCCTTCCAGGTGGCTGGATTTGGGCACGTAATAGGCTCCCTTTGGTCTGCCGACGATGAGACTTGCATTCAAGTAGCAAAACTCTTTTACGAGTATTTGGCACAAGATGGACGGAGGAATGCTACGAATCGAGTCATCGCGGAAGCATTACGTTATGCTACGCAAGAGGTCCGCACTGGCCGAGATCCGATTCTATGGGCACCATACATTCACTCCGGTGCCTAACCGTCTACCGCCGAGCCCACAATCAGTCAATAGGAGTCGGATGCCGCGATGGTATGGCCGCTATTGTGCTGGATTCAGGGCTGAGATGAGCGTTGGTAATGCTGAAGGAGACAACAAGTATCATAGCAGAGCATTTGAGGTGGAATTCAGTGAAAGGGGAGACAGGGGGGGCTTTAATTGATGAAATTGGAAGACGGGAGGCTAAGACAGGCGAATGCCCGGTGCTGTATGTTGATTGATTTCTGACGATACTCTTCCTTTACCCCTGACTCGTTATATCGGTGTCGTTTGATGCTATTATCATCTTCAAACATTCGAGGATATGTAGCGAAATTGCCCAGAACGAGATTTGTACATTAATAACGTGATCTTACACCGGGCTAGACTTTCAAGCACTTGTTTCGGGGTCGTGCGATGTAACTAGGTATGGTGTGGGGAGTAGACCTTCAGACTCTCGGCCGTGGTGATATCGCGGTGGAAGACACAGCCTAGGTAAGACAATCTAACGGCATATGTCTAAAGACGTTTGATCCCGAAGCCATTATCCCTCGCCACCCCGAGATACGATCGGCCAATTTCTGCGATGGAGCTTACTCCTGCTAGCGCCATCGTCTGGCTCAGCTCCCTCTCCAAGATGTTCAACACTGCGGAAACACCATTTTCTCCATCGTAAGCCAGTCCCCAAAGCACGGGACGACCAACAAGCACGAAGTCTGCACCCAAGGCTATCGCCTTGAATACATCACTTCCCCGCCTCACCCCACCGTCAAGAATAACAGGTATCTTGCCCGCGACGACTTCCGCAATCTGCGGCAGCAGCTCCAGAGTGGCAGGCACGCAGTCCAGTTGTCTTCCCCCGTGGTTGGAAACCACGATGCCATCAACCCCGTAGTCGACTGCAAGCCTCGCATCCTCAGGTGACATGATGCCTTTGACAAGTATCTTCATGGACGACACAGAACGAAGGAACGGTATCGTGGTCTCCCATGTCAGGGCTGAGTTCATCAGAGCGCCGCCGGCGGAATCGGCGATATCTTTGGCCTCTTTCTTGGTTCGGGCGTCCATGAGGATGCGATTCACGGTAGCTGCGCTGGCTATGGGCTTCGTGCTCACCTCGTTTTCGGCGAGAAGGCTGCGACGCTCAGACAATCTGTTGCCGAGTATAGGAGTATCCACGGTGAGAACAAGAGCAGTACAGCCAGCGGCTGTTTTTCGGAGTAACGGCTTAGTTCTCAGGAGCGGGCGCGACAGGGAACAAGAGTCAACTTACCCTCGGCACGTTTGATCCATTGTACACTCTTACTTAGGTCGGTCTGAAGATATACTTGCACCCAAAGTGGCGGAGACCTTTCCGACTTCTCTCGAGCATCAGCTACATCCTCTATCGGTGTAGAGGAGCCGGCCGACAGAGTCATGTTCAGATTCATCTTGGCCGTTACTCTCGAAGTGTCTATTTCCCCGTTACCACCAGCTAGTTTTTGTCTCGCTGTTGGTGCTACCCCCACGGGCATAGAGTATGTGTGACCAAGTAAAGTTGTGTCGGTGTTCACATTGCTCACGTCTCTTAGTACACGTGGAATAACGAATAGTCTGAAAGGTCAGTTTCTCCCATGATCTCCATCGACTAATATGACCCTACCGGTTGAAAGCGCTGCTGTTCCTTTCCAATGCCCTCTCCTCGTCCGCAGCCCTCCCGAAATAGTCCCATGCAGAAGAAATCATTTTTCTCTCTGCTATGTCTTGGATCTCTGCCGTCGTCAGAGGATCATCAAGACCATCCTTCCCACTGCGTCGCGTCATTTCGATTTTGACACTGAGTTTTGTTGGACATTCGATAGTAGCCCAATAAATTGTCGTATGATTCTGGCCGCATAATGAATCAAAGACATTGCCTCTCACACGTCTGTTTCGCGGCGTCGTCTGTAGTTTTGACCGCTCGCTACCGAGCGGACTCAGGCAGACAGCAACACAAACCTGGCGGCCATGGGGCTCTGGCGTGCTTGACGGTATTTCTGGCGCAAGAGGAGAAATATGGGGCAATAGAGCAGGACTCCATTGCATAGTAACATAGAAACAGGATATGGTTGGTTGTAGATGTGCCAAGCATGTGGTTGGTACAGGGTTGTACAGACCTGCATATCCTTTGATAGTCTTTACAAGAGAAGATAGCATATCTTTGAAAGATGACTGCATATCCAAAAAGCGGGCTATCAGGCCCCAAACAGTTCTCATAACAGGGGGTTATTTTCACCACGGTGGTACTGAAGAACGTACAGAAGACTTGGCGGCGATCGTGTGATTTGAGCTCGGTTCTCCATGCTTTGCGCTACCTCTGCTACTATTGCATGAAACACCAAGCACCTCGGTATTAAACTGTCACAGCAACCACCTACGGCTACATGTCAAGACCTTCTAAAGTCTACAGTCATCCTACTTACCAGTGGTTTCTTGACATGACCAGGGTCAGCGTAGCGCGGCTTTATCTACGAGATAGTAAGGATGGATCAACCAAACGTTATTCGCCCTGTATGTTGCGTGCTGTGAGGAATCCATCCAACGACATCCGCAGACATGGGCATCGTGACGCAGTAAGCATCATTCGCAAAAGGTGTCGATAAAGATGGGCCCTCTGCTACGGACCTGGTTATCCGTCAACTTGAAGCTCCGTTACAGAGAACTAAACCCGAACAGATTCGATGTTAGTCGCGACTTGGTATTCGACATGGAAGAGCTGCATGGTAGATAACCCCCCACAACCCGTGCGACGCCTTTCCAATGCAGCACTGTGATGCAGCCTACTGGATAAGTTCACCAACGTTCAAGCCAATCTCCTCTTGAAAACTGTGACACTAGGATTCTCAACGCCATCATTCAATGAGTGTACTGAGCGCGTGCTTCTTCTTCATGATGGCGTGACTAGCCACTGCCTATCGATAATTAAGTGTTTTGATGGCAATGGCATGCTATTTTTCCTGTTTATATTCGGCTAACCTCATCATATATGAGGTTACTTCGTCACTGGCATCGCCCTCACTACTTCTCCTTACGCATACGCTCCACCTTCGCCATTCCTCATATCTGCTGTAGTCGACGGGGGCACCTCTCTCAGGCTTCGTCATGTCGCGAACTCAGGAAATCTCGGAGCTGTCGGTGGATGAAACACTGTCTTCCCATCTAAAATTTAGAACAGCGATCCGTGGGGAGGAAATCTCGAATGCCTTCGGAGCGGACGAGGAAATCAGCCGAGAGACTGCTCTGACGGCACTGACTGCGGCAGAGGAGCGGAAGTTGATCCGCAGGGTTGACTGGCGATTGATACCTCTTCTGTCAATGCTGTATCTTATGAAGAAGATTGATGAGAACAACGTCAGTCCTCAGCGTTTCCTCGGTTGACCCACAACATGGTTGGTTCGTTCTGATTTGGAAGTTTCGTACAGGCCTCCAATGCCCGCATCATGAATAAGGGGACGAGCGAAAACATACTGACACAACTTGGAATCACCTCCGACCAATTCGGCATGATTACCATCCTGTATACCGTCGGTGACGTTCTCGTGAAAGGAGGACAGTTGTTGACTCAGGCTAACGTTGGCGAGATAGGTCCCTTACATTTTAGCAGAGATTCCGTCAAACCTGGTCTTGAAGAGAATCAGTCCTTCCCGGTGGCAGTCAAGAATTATGATAACCTGGTGAGTAGTTATAGACGAACAGCCACTTTTTGTTGTCTGGCGAAGCTAATGATGTGATCTCTGATTGTCAGGGGCCTTATCACGGCTTGCACCTCAGCAGTGACCAACCTCGCCGGACTCTACACCGTGCGTTTCTTACTTGGACTGGTGAGCTCAACGAGACGAGAAAATTGAAATACTTATGTTCATGTCTAAGTATGTTCCAGGCAGAGGCTGGGATGTTTCCCGCTATCATCCTTCAGCTTACCTACTGGTATCGTCCTGATGAGATAGCCGTCAGGCTCGTCTGGATATGTTAGCCTTACACTTTCCCCTTGTATTGCCAGCGCTGATTATCGAAAGTTACTGTCGGAAATGTCGCAGGTATAATTGGAGGAATTCTTGCATACGCTTTCCATCTCGTATCGGGAGCCTACGATATTTCTGGCTGGCAATGGTAGGAAATTATCCTTCAACCTGGTTCATTCGCTCAATCTGCTAACTTTACTTTGATAGGCTGTTCATAGTAGAGGGGGCTCTGACCATCGTGCTTGCGTTTGTGGTGTGGTTCTTTCTGCCTGATTGTATGTTGAGCCGTTATTGGCATCGCCTGTAACCAAGCCACCACCACGTATCTTGGACTGACTTGAACGAAGTTCCTGCGACGACTAAATGGTTGTCACCGACAGAAAAGGCTTTCCTACAAGCACGATTGCCTCAAAACTCTCCGAGGGCCGTCGAACGGAATTTCGTCTTCAAAGAGATTCTCACAACGCTCCGCGACAAGAGACTGTGGCTTTTTACGCTCAGCTGGGCTCTAATGACAACCGGAAGCAGCGGTGTCAAATTCTACCAGCCAACCATCATTTCCAACATGGGTTTCAGGTGAGACAGCTAATCAACTTGCGCTCTCGTTACTAACTGTAGAAAAACAGTGGCATTGCTACTGCCCAGATTCTCAACATACCCATGTCAGTCGTTACGATTGCCCTCCTTCTGGGCTCCGGATGGGCGTCCAACAAAGCAAGAATCCCGGTCCCTCTATTTCCGATTTCCAGTTGCGTCATCACTGTGGCTTGCTATTCCGTTTTGGTTGCCTATCCTCACGACATCGGTGTCTACATTGCCATGATCATCGGGAATGCATTCTCTATCGCGTGGTTTCCGTAAGTGATCTTGCCCACTCCCGTTGCGAGCGGCGCTCTCTAGCGATTGCCTGCTTTGCAATCTTTAAGAGAACCTTGCTCACTCTGAGGTGGGACAGTATGATGTGGTCGTGGCGTTCTCAAACTGTGAACGGAGCCACGGGTTCTGCGTTTGCTATCGGGTTCGTGAATAGTTACGGACAGATCGGCGACGCTATTGGGCCGCAGATGTTCCAAGATGTCTATGAACCGCGGTACCAGCTGCCATTTGGGCTCGCCATGGGACTCGTAAGCCTTTGCGGGGTGACAAATGGCTATACCTGGTGGGTCACGCGTCAAACAGAGAGAGATACGAGGAGGCACAAGCTTGCCAGACTGCAAGCAAAGCTTCAAAACCAGGCAGTTCTTGACGACGTAACTGATAACGACCTGAAGAGAGACGCAGCTTGATCCTCTCGTTGGTACATCCTAGTCTCAATCCATCCAATCGACACTAGCAAGCATTTGTACATTTACGGTCTTATGTCACTTGGTCACGCAATGAGTGCGGAGAGGGAAGCTATCATAACTTCCCAATCAAGTATTGAAGGTTCTCTCAAGTAGCTTTTTCTTCTATGCCTCAATTGAATAAATAAGTAAGGGAGTCAACAAGGGGGTGGGGGATCATTTACCCCACATGTCGTGCATGGTGCGCCCAGCCACTTAAGCATGAGAGCACAAGTGAGGGGATATGTAACCTCCGCAATCAACCACAACCAAAAGCCAGCGCCATGACTTCCACGCAACAAGACCACATCGTGCTACTGGTAGATGACCCCTTCTTTGAAAATCTCCCCGCCTGGGTCACCGACAACTTCACCGTCACCCCAGGGGGCTATCACGATGGCCAACCATCTCGCAACAAGCTGGTGATCTTCGCTGATGGTACCTACCTGGAATTCTTCAACTGGTACGACAAGCCACCGGCTCTAGACGATGAAAAATTGCCGATGAGATTCTGGGGCCCGAAACCCCCGGGTCTGATTGACTTTGCCATCACCGATACAACCCACTCCGCAGAGGAGTCGGTTGGATCGGTGAACGAACGATTGTCCGAGGGCCCCGAGAAAGACGCCGGTCTCGGAATCAAATTCGGCAAGCCGATTGCGGGCTCACGCAAAAAGTCTGACGGCGTGGAGATCAGCTGGAAGGTCACACGGCCGGAGTTCTCCCAAGGCGACAAGACGCCCGGCCAAGAGCTCTTCGCCGACGGAAGAATCGACGTCCCGTTCTTCTGTCACGACGTCACCCCGCGAACCGGGAGGGTCCCAAGTGAAGACGAGAAGAAGACGACACACCCTTGCGGTGCCACTGGCATCGCCGCCTGCGAGATACTCGTCCCCAAGCACCTGCTGACCGAATACGCTCGCGTCTACTCCAAGATTCTCGGCTCCAAGTTCGAGCCTGCCGCCGGACATAGCTCGTACACTTTTGACATCGGCGTGCCGCAGGGGTCTTCCCGATCCACGGTGGTAGTGCGTGCTGCTGAGACTGATAAAGACGTCAAGCGCATGCAGGAGAGGGGAATTGGTTTCTCCGATCTTGTTCTTGCCGTCAAGGGCGATGCCCCTGGTGGCGATGTGAGGCGCCCGTTAGGCTCCACGGGCATCGAGTCCACGATCTGGTTAGAGAAGTCAAAGTCTTAAGGTATAAGTGAGTTTCTGCTTAGGCAGTTCGCTCTAATACTTTCTTGTTGCTGTTAGGTCGCCTCATTTTCTCACAATAGCTTCCCTTGTATCTCATTCTCTCTCAACCTAGAGTCACCAGTTTGAGATTATGATCATTCAATCGAAATTTATTGAAGTTGTTTGCTCATTAAGACTTCACGACCAGTAACGCGTTGTGTCTGTGTTCTCAGGACTTGACGCCGGCTTGAACGTGACGAGGACATTGAGCACGACTCGACGTCAACATTGGCCCTAACGAGCAATGTCTGCATCGCGCAAGCCCCAAAAGGCCTGCAGGCTGGGGCTGACCTTGAGACACGGCCAACCGACGTGTCTCTCGGCTTCCAGGACTATCTTGCAAAGCTGTCTTGTCTCCTTTGGGTCCGTGAACAGCTCACCCGCGATACCAATAGCCAGGCCCACCAACACCCGCGCCGGAACATGCTCCTCGTTCGACATCCAGATTCCGTAGATGTTACGGACCGATTTCCTAATCTTTTCTTCCTGCGCCCTGACATAGCTTGCTCGCCCCAGGCCCAGGCTTGGCGTGCGAGGATCATGGGCCAGGAGGATAATCTTACAGATCTCTAGGTACTGTCGGCCACTCACCGCGCAGTCGTGAATGTAGTATGTTTCTGGGAAAGTTGAGGCCCGGTCCTTTTGCCCGATGCTGTGGAACTCGTTTAGAGGTTCAAATGAAGAGGGCTTTGCCTGGTCCCAACTGTCCAGGTACCCCCAAAGATGATCCCAGAGATCTGTAGTGCGTGGCTCGTTGCCATATGCGAAGTTGGTGACGCGCGCAGCGTGCGCCGTCATGCGGTGCGCCCATATCACATCAGACGCTGGACCCAGGCCGCCATCAATCCCGCAGTCCTCGCCAAGAAGCTCAACTGGACGCTTGACCATGTTCGCGACAAAGATCTCCTGCCTTAGGACGATGGCCATTGTGGCGTTGCTCAGCTCCGTCGGCTGTAAGTTGTGTTGCCTCATACGCAGGAGAACAGGCGCTGAGACCGTATGTCTGATGACCAACTGGCTATCGGATGGGTCTGTCATGTTTTCCCAAAAAGTCAGAAAACTATCATTTTATTTTTCAAACGTCTTGGACTTGACTGACCAGTCATCTCGTCCAGCAGCCGCAGGAGCAACGCGGACACGAGAACCCCGTCTCCTTGCGGTTCCGCCACGTTCCTGTCGTTCAACATCGGAATCAAGATGCCGAGGCACTTCCGCTCGTACTCATTGGAGTCCCATTCCTCCGAGCGGACTGCCTCGAGGTATCTCGCCGAGACGGCCAGGACAGCATACAGTATCCCCGGATCCTGGCGCAAAGTCGACTTGACGTAGGACCCAAAAGGTCCACTGGGCCAGCAGTAGTCAAACTACCTAATGTCAGAGGGCTCTGTTGACTTCTTCCAACTGAAATTTGCGCCTACCCAGGGTATCAAAGTAGTGAAGAAGTGTTTGACAAGTTTGGCCTCATGTGTAGGCAATGGCTGCGGGTGAAGTGAAGCCTGGGCGGAACTGTCATCGACATCAAGGGTGTGATTAGAGCCTGACGCGTCATGTTCAATGAGAAGGGGCGCCTCAGATGCAGGTTGCCATGGGGCGTCAACATCACGACTGCCCTCGTTATCAGTGGTGGCAAGCGGCGGTCTGTTCGATCTCCTTCGATCTCCTCGTGTTCTAGACCGAGTTTTGGAGGAGGGATCTGAGTCTGTGGCCTCGACCACATGATGACTCAACCCGCTGAATCGGATTTGAAGCTCGCTAGTTCCACCGCCCCTACACGAAGCGCCACCGGCTTCGCAGTTTGAGCACGTCTGGCCCCTGCTCCGAATGTCACCTACGGATAGTCAGCATTCATGTTATACCCAATGAATGAGAGTGCGGCTATAGTTCCGAGACATGGGACAAGCTCACATTTCTTGTGGAGTGTACGGCATCTATGGCTATGCAACCAGTCAGAAGTGCGTGTAAGTGCCGCCGAAGCCAACTCACCACGCTCGGGATGACATGCGTAATCTCGACGCATGGTTCTTCTCTCCCCCTGGCGCGGGGTTGAACTGTTTGATGATGAACATGCCGAAGTTAGATCGAGACGGAGGGTAACGCGGGGGGGATGATGGTGGAAAGTCTGGGGCAGAGTCGTTGAGTAAGTCGGGGCTCCTTGCTTTTATGGGTAATGGGGAGAATTACGATTTGGGGAAGGCGGGCGGATCTTCCAAATGTGGTAATACCTCACCAGCGCCACGCGATCAACAGATTTCCCAATGTAGTACATCGCTCCGTCCGACATGCTTGAACTGCAGTTGTTTAAGAAGGTAAAGCTCCTCCACCATACCCAGAAGGATGATTTGTTTTTGATGTGAAGATGTCACGAGCAGCCTGCGGGCTCGTTTTCTACATCAGGTATGCGCCATGAGAAGACCAATTTCGTCACAATGATCATGGTCATACCCAGAGGGGAGAAGGCCACAGTCGAAAAGGCCAGGAAGAAGGGTATAAAGAGACAGAAGTCAGTTGGCGAGCATAACGTCTTTTCTAAATGTCCGTATCAACTTCTCTTCTTAGACGCGCCCGCAAAGAACGACGCCATGATCGCAGTACTTCTTTCCTTCGCCCTCATCCTCATCATCCTCGAGCCCCTGATAAGATACCTCCGGGACCAAAAGCGTCTCCGTCGTTTCCCAAACGCCACATACTTATCCGGCATATCCAACATCCCCTTCATGATCCTCCGCTACCGCGGCTTCCGCTCAAGAGAAGTCCACCGCGCCCACCAACAACACCCCGTCCTCCGACTCGGCCCAAACACCGTCTCCTTCTCCTCGCCCGCCGCGATCCGGGCCATCTACGGCCACGCGACCCCCTGCGCCAAGGGCGGCTCCTACGAGAACACCCTCACGCCCCACGCCGGCCTGATCGAGGTCATCGACAAGCAGGACCACGCCACCAAGCGCCGCATCCTCTCCAACGCCTTCGCCACGCGCAACCTCGAGCAGTGGGAGTTCAAGGTCGCGGACAAGGTGCGGCGGCTGGCGCGGCAGTTCGACCACGCCTGTGCTGAGGAGGGGGCCGCCGCTGTGGTGGACTTTCGCAAGTGGGCTAATCTGTTTACCGTCGAGGCCATCGTGCACATTGCGCTAAGCCAGCGGCTGGGCTGTCTTGAGAGGGGGGACGACCTGGTGCGTATCACATTGTCTGGTGGGGATGAAAAGACTGTGCCGTTCATCGAGGGTCTCCACGCGCCGAGGAGGGCTTTGTCGATGATTGTCTGGTCGCCTTGGTGTCGGCGTGTGAAGCCCGTGTTGGAGGGCATCTCGGGGCTTTTCGGCACCGGTCGCCAACTCGGCGAGGACTTTAACGAACTGCTAGAGTGTCTGGTCAGGGATCGAGTACTCAAACATGAGGCAGGAGAGAAGCTGGATGATCTAGCCACCTGCCTCTTCCAAGACAAGGCTGGCCAAGCACGCAACCTGCAATTCGCCGAGATCCAGGGGCAGATGAGCACACTCTGTGAGTAGTCTCACCCAAGCTACCGATGCAGCATACTAACATCCACCAGTGGACGCAGGCTCAGACACTACGGCGATAGCCTTGACGCACGTCATGTACTTTCTCCTCAAGAACCCACACATGTTCACAAGGCTCCGGGAGGAGATCGACCTTCACGCCGCCATAGACACCGACGGCGTCGCAACCTACGCCAGCGTCAAGAACCTGCCTTACCTCCGCGCCTGCCTCGACGAGTCCCTGCGCCTCTTCCCTCCCGTCTGCACGGGGCTCCACCGCGTCACGCCCCCGGAGGGCTACGAGATCGACGGCCACTGGATTGCAGGAGGCACCGTCGTCGCGGTCCCCATCTACACGGCCCACAGGAACCCGGCGTTCTTCCCCGAGCCCGAGAGGTACGCGCCCGAGCGGTGGCTGTCTGACAAGGCCAGGGACGCGCAGGCTTCCTTCATGCCGTTCAGCGCGGGCGCTCGCGGCTGCATTGGGAGGAACATCACCTACATTGAGCAGATGATGCTCCTGGCCAGCTTGGTGCGGCGGTATGACTTTGGCTTTGATGATGAGGGGTTTGAGCTGGCTCACGAGGAGGCATTCAATCTTTGGCCGGGCTCCATGCGTTTGCGCATCCAAAGACGGCTTGTGTGATGGTGCCTCTGGGTAGACAAGAGGACGGCACTGCGCGGTGGAGGGAGCGAGCCCCATGGACAAGACAAGTTCAATAGTGATATGCCAAACTATATAGAACAATGAAAATGAATCTGAGAAATTCTTAAGAAAATGCTCCGATGCCCTAACAAAGCAATGCCCGAGGTATTTCTGGGCTGGCCAACTGCCGATAATTATACAAAACCCTCACACACCTCTTCAACGGAAAGAAAACACCGCGCCTCCCTTAAGGCGGCACCCACCCAAGCTCCTCAATCGGCCACTGTATCCAAAGCCGATGGTCCTGGTCCAACAACGTCCACGCCCGCGAGATCAGATGCGTCGCCCACCCCTGCAGCCACCACTCGTTCTCCAGCCTCTTGAGCAGGATGCAAAAGTGCGAAAAGATGGCCACGGCCTCCTGCGTCGCGCCGGGGCTCTTGAGCAGCGGCAGAAAGTCCTCGGCCATGAGGTACTTCCACACGAAGGCGTCGGTGATGTCCATGCCGCGGCCGCCGTCCCACAGGAACACGCTCAGCGTGCGCCGCAGCTCGTCGATGGCGTGGTTGTACACGGGCAGCAGCTCCGGGTTCGCGCACGTCTTGTTCACGAGGCGCTGCAGGTCCGCCAGCAGGTCCGACTGGATCTTGGACTCGTCGCGCGTGTGCATGTAGCGCTCGCGCCCGTGGGTGAACATGGGCAGCAGCGGCCCGGTGTAGGCGCGCGGGTCGAGGATCTTGAGCAGGCCCCGCGTGCCGCGGAGGAGGAACAGCCAGTCCGGGAAGGAGGACTCGCCCATGATCAGGGAGTCGGAGGAT